CAACCAACCAACCAATCAACCAACCAACCGATCAACCAACCAACCAACCATTAACTAACCATCTATCTAGCCAACCAACAATCCAACCTGCCAGCCAGCAAACAAACCCGCCTGCTCGCCTGTCCCTCTGTCTCCTTCTTTCGCTTAGATTTCGTCGTCGAGTCTTCGCGCCTTCTCTCTCTCCCTCTCTCACTCACCTCTCTCTCTCTCTCTCTCTCTCTCTCTCTCTCGCTCTCGTGGGTTTTCATTTCCTCCCTCCCGCCCCTTCTTACCGCCGCAGTCCTCTATCCCCGCGCTTCTCCCGATCTGACGTCGTCGCGCCGCGACAAAACGAGCGAGGATTAAGGAAGAGCACGGAGCGAAGCGCGAGCAGTTGGTCTGTTGGCCGAGTGGAAAGTTGTGGCTGGGTAATCGAGTGCGCGGCGGTGTCTAGCTGGTCGCGTCGCGCGACGCGCGCCGATCCAACCGACCAACCGACCGACCCATTGATTTCCAAGTTTGACGACGTCAACAACGACGGCGACGACGACGACGACGACGAGAAGCCCGAAACCGACAGAAGCGTAAACGCGAGTCCTAGGTGCCCGACAGGATGCCGCTGCTGCGCAAGAAGCCCTTTCAGCGTCTTCACGTCTCCTCCGACTTCCGCGAGGACGACGAGGTCTTTCATTGCGCCGTGACTAATGAGATTTTTAAAGATTACAAGTGAGTCGCCTCGCACCTTACGCGCACGCTTACCCCTTACTATTCTCATCCTATTCACGATTTGTCACTCTGCACTCTCCCTACTACTCTAACGCATCGTTTTCATCCTTCTCGTCCACGTTCGCGCCATAACGTCGCGCTTACGAAAGCGCCATGCGCTATCACAATTTTTTATTTCTCTTTCAGTGAGTTTTGCGAGAGAATTATCCTGTGTAATTCAATGATATGGTCGTGCAGTATAACTGGAAGGTCCGGAATGACCTACGAAGAAGCTTTGCAATGCGAGGAGCACGCGAAGGCAAGCCTCAAGGAATTTCCGATGGAGGTACCTATACGTCAATTTCGTTAACTTTCGCGCATATTTTGGACAATTTCATTCATATCTTCTTCTTATTGTCCCTTAGTTGCGTATCCCAATCTTGTACTTAGCTAGTAAAACATCGAGGACTTCTTTTGGTGAAATGATAGAGGACATTTACCAGTATGCTAGAGAACGATATTTCATTGGAGAAATGGTTGAAGCAAGCTTCACCGAAGATTCATGGTGCGAATGTCATGTTTTACAAGTTATCGAGCCTACCCAACAGCAAATTAATGCATTTAATTTGGAAAACAGCAAGTGAGCAACATCATTTTTATACATGTTTGCGGTGTAATATTATAAACAAGAGCAGTGCATATATTGTCATTGATTGTCGATTTATTATTTGTTAGAAGTCCACAGGATAGATTATATTATCCTCCGGCAAAATTATTTCGTTATGAAGTTGAACAGCTAGATTGTGGCGATACCGACGTCAGTCAACTGATGATTGTAGAAGCTTCGCAGGTCCGTCGAAGGAAGCAGCAGTATAGTCGAGAACGTAATAAAATATTCCTTCGAATGCTATGCGAGCAAAACACTAATGGTGTTTGGATAGTAAAGGTATGTTTGCTTACATATGATAATTTCGTACAGTAATGAAAGTTGTTTGTGGAATCGAGCGCTCGGAAAATATGTTTGCTAGTTCCTAGATTCGATTAAAATATTTTATATCGAACAAATTATAAAAGACTTGCAAAATTAAGATATCCATGGTTTTTCAATTTTTTTTTTTATAAATAATCTCTTTCGAATTTTTGAATTGACATTTTGATCTCTGGGTTAATATGAAATTAATTGTAAGACCACTGTAAAAGAAAGCTTGCCAGACGTATCGTTCGCATCGCTTTCAATGTTTTTGTCCAATGACTTTACGTTGATTTTACATAAACAGTTTTTCTCCAAATTCATCGATAATATTGACCAAAATTATATTTCATTCAGGAAAGTGTCTTACAAAAATATGGCATTATTAAAACTCGCTTTGATTCGTTATTTGCTGGGCCACTACCCGATTTTACACCACGGCCAAGAAAAATAATAAAGCAAAAGCAAGAATCTTTGGACAAATTTCTTGTTTCCGATGTATCTAAGCATAGGACGTTCGATAAGCCAGATCCACTGAAAAAGATTAATTCTAGTGACACTATTATAAAGAAAAATCGAAAACCTAGGTAAATATTTACTTTGTCAACTTCACCGCCAATTACATGTCACTAATTTACGACCCGTTTGAATCGTGCCTCTTATAATGCGTACTTTCAGACTTAATGGTAAATTTAAGGAAGAACTCAAGGCAAAGGCCTTAGAAGAAAAGGCTAAACGTAAGGAGGAAAGATTAGAAAAAAAGGAGCGTAAAAAAGAAGAAAAAATAAAACAGGCAGCATTGGCAGCATACGTTAGAAAGTGGAATAAGCCACGAGAAGACTTGGAATGCGAAGACCTTAAACCTCTTCCAATAGCGACTCCCCTTAAGTGTCCGTTATTAAATGAAAAATTTGGTGATTTTGCCATTATTTTAGAATTCTTGCAGTTTTTTCATGATGAAATTGAGGTTAAAACATGGTTTCCCAATGGTTTGACCCTTGAAGTTCTGGAAAAAGCAATAATGGATAAAGAAATAATAGGTCCATTAAATGATCTCATTCAGTTACTTCTTGCAAATATTTTTAAATATCAGGCCGAAGAGGAGGACGAAATTCACGCAGAAGCATCCGAAGCAGTTACCGATAATAATGTTGATCAAAGAGTATCATCAATGGCAGAAGCCGTCAAATTGGCAACAATGGCATCGAGTTGGTCCCAAACTCATCAAGGATGTCAGTTGTCAGAGATCGCCTTAGATTATTATACAATGAGTGAAATATTAAGGCAGCATCTTCTAAGTTCTGGTGGACGTATTAGTGAAGCAGCCTCAAAATGGAGATATTCCCAGAGAGGTATTTCACTTAAAAAATAACGTTAATATTTATATTATGCTGATTTATTTCAATTTGCTATTAAAATAAGTAAAAAATTTTCACTAGGTGGATATACAAATCAAGACGATCCTGCTCTTTTACTTAGAATAGAGAAGCCACGGATTTTGCGTTTATTAAGTCATCGTAATATATGCGAATTTAATTTAGAAGATCGATTAACAGTTGTAATTTGTTTAATAAATCAACTGCTTACATTCGCATCTATTCGGGATATTATTGATGAAAGGTACGAAAAGCTTTTTCAAGCAAAAAAAGAGTTAAAATATTTTATAATTGCTGAACAGAAGAAAGAGAAAGAGGAGAGGGAAAAGTTGAAAGAAAAGGAGAAGGATGGTAAAATTGAGGAGGAGGATCCAGAACGAAAGAAGATAACTCGTAATAATTATAAAGAAGAAAAGAAGAAGGAAGAATTCGAAGCGAAACTGAAAGACTTACAAGAAGCTTCTAGAGACGATCAAATGATGGTGCTCTTAGGATCTGACAGAGCGTATCGCAAGTATTGGCGCTTATTATCCATACCTGGTAATTATGTCAATAAAATCAATTTTCTTTTAATTAATTATAATGGTCTGTGTACTCTTAACGGGAATGAGATTTTCAGGAGTTTTTGTGGAAAATGTTGACTCGTGGTCCGGTCACTGTTTACCAGAAGGGACTCCATATATGCCAGAACTTGCAGATACCAACACATTATATTCTTATTTGAAAAATAAATTCGAGGACGAATGTAGTGATAAGGAGAATAGTTTTAAGAAAAATAAATCTCCCAAAAAAGTTAGTTTTTCCGATAAAAATGGAGTCAAGTCGCCTCGTAAGGATACGAAAAAAGATATACATAAAACCTTAATGGTTTGTACGGGGAATAAAGATTGTCCCGTACACATAAATAGAATCGGGCCCAAGTGGAGCTTCTATGGTAAAGAGCAAGATATCGATAATTTAATTGATGCACTAAGTGAAAGAGGTATTCGCGAGTCCGAACTTAGAAATAATCTTGTACATGAAAAAGAGAGCTTGATAGCTGCAATTGACGAATGTCCAAAGCATAAATTTAATTCCGATGTCGTAAGTATCACTGTTCTTTTCTTCTTCTTTTTTTTTTCTTTTCTTTTTTTTTTTCATTTTATCATTTTGCTTCATTTTGTTTATTTGTCTTTTCTTTTAACGGTATCCTATTTTCATCCATAATTAGAAAATGCAATTTTTAATTTCTTATAGTTTGCAGAGATGATAAAGGATGCACCAAAATTATCCAAGAAAAATAAAGTTGATAATACTCATAATAATTATTCACCTGATATGACTCTTGATGATATTTTGGAACTTACTTTACGCGATTATGTCTTGGATTTGGAAGACAAAATCAAAATGGGTTGCCTGGGTTCTCTGAAGGTAGTGAATCGTGATACGTGGCGAAATGCTATTAATAATCGCAAATATGATAAGCAGTGTGATAAACTTGTATATGGATTGAATGAAACTGCAGTAGACTTCGCTGTTAATGTAGCATTAGATAAAATTAAAACGGAATCTAAAAGTAGTAGGCCAGGAACTCCTGATTCGGAAGTCGGTAGTTCCAATACAAAAGCATACAGAGATCCAGGAAAATATTTGGGTCCTCCCGATAAAAGTGAATCCTTACCAGATTCTCTACAGCAAACTGCAATCAAACAATTAGCATGCGCTATTTTACAAATATCTCAAGCTATTGAACACAAGTACCTGAAAAAACCACTAGGCGTCGACGATAAAGATAAGAAGTGGTCCAGTGAAGAAGCTAGGGATCGATGGGAGCAATCGCTTATGTCATCGACAAGTTGGTCACAACTTTTTGTACATTTAAATACATTGGACAATAGTATCGCATGGAGTAGGAGTGCATCGAATGCACAATGTCGAATTTGTCGAAAACGCAGGGATGCTGAAAATATGTTACTTTGCGATGGTTGTAACAAGGGTCATCACATATACTGTTTAAAGCCGAAGTTAACCGTTAGTAAACGCGAAATTGCTTTTAAATTGATAATTTTATTTTTTCGATGGGTGCAGCTTCATCATTAAACTTTATAATCTTCATTGTAGGCTGTACCGGAAGGCGATTGGTTTTGCTATGTTTGTAAGCCACGAGAAGTAAAATCAAAAGAAAAAGCCAAGAAACGAAGAAAATTTGAGGATGAAATCGATGAAGATACGACGCTTACGAAAGAAACGAGGCATAGTCGTGCAAGAAGAATCGTCGATAGTGACGAAGACGAAGAGGAGGAGAGAGATACTAATCAGGAGGAAGACAGTGATGAAGAAATGTTAGTTGCATTGTTGTTCGTTAAGCACGCTTAATTACTCAATTAAATGCAAATATTGTGTTGCATTTTTTCAGATCGAAATCAACACAACTTTGTGCAATTTGTGACAATGATGGGAAGCTTGTAGCATGCGTGACTTGTCCAAAATTTTACCATATCGATTGTCTCGATCCACCCCTTACAAGAGTACCTCGTGGTCGCTGGTCTTGTACAACTTGCAAATCCCGGAAAAGCAATCCAAGGCCAGGTAATACATCTTTACATACGAAGAAATGCGAAGGTCGCTAAACTTGAATGTGACACTTAACAAAAATTAATTCTTTTCACCCCAAGGTGCATAATTTGCGATAAAAATGTATTATTTGTAGTTTAGCGCTCCCCTAAATTAGCATAATTAGTAAGATTGACATATTTCAATCAATTATAATTTATAATATATTATATCTGCGAGAGATAACATTGCTTTTAGAACTTCAAGTTTAGTCAGACAAATTTCCTATGCAATTGCATTAAATTAAATGTATTAATTACCAAAAACATTACTTGCACTCGATAAGTTTAAAAAGAAAGAAGTAAGGCCTAGTTTTGGGTATGTTGTTAGTGGTAAAGGGTCGTGAGAAGGAGCGAGAGACCGAAAGATCCTCCGCTGCTGCGGCACGTTCTCGCATCCACGGCTTCGCCAAGAGCCTTCTTACTAAAGAACCTAAAGACTGGGATGGTCTGTATTAAGATATTCGTGTTTTACCCGTAATTTAACTTAGTATTAAAGTAAATATTTTTATTTTATCCTCATTGTAGTGACTTACAACTGATAACTCATCGTAACATTTTTTTTTTTTTAACCGCTTCTCCTACTTTTTACAAATAACAAAATCTCGTTGAATGACAACTTCTCTTTTGACTCATATTTTATCGAGTAACTCTAACCATATTGACACAATTACATTATTTTCAATTATTTCAATTCATAAAGCTCTTCTATGCGTTCACCCACACCACCAATATTTATTCCAGTGGCTCATAACAAGCTTTAACATTTTGATTAAACATACAATTTAGCAATTTAGCACATTGGCTCTCGTGAGAGCGTTCATATGCACTTTTCATTTGGCTCGATGTCTCGAAGCCCATTTTCAATTTTGTTTTTTAATTTTCCAGATAGTAGCGCGTCCGAGGAAACTGAACAACCACGGCAAACGAGAAGGTCGGCAAAACGAGCGGCCGAAGTTGAAATGGAAGAGGAGAAGATAACTGTAAAAGGTTGCAAAGCATTGTTTCAGGAACTTGTACACGACGTTACACGTCATCGAGATTCATGGCCTTTCCTCTCACCCGTTACAAAGGATGAGGTTCCCGATTACTATGACTATATTTCCGAACCAATGGATTTTGGTACCATAAAGAAAAAACTTGAACATGATAACTATCGTACAATACAAACCTTTTATAGCGATTGTCTTTTAGTTTTTGATAATTGTCAAACCTACAATACAGAACATAGTGCCGTGTATAAGTAAGTAATATTTGTAATTTATAGTTGGGTTCGGACGCCAGAGACAATAGATGGGATGGGAGTAACTAATAATTTTGCACGCGCGCACGCTCTTACAAAAATTACACATGTGCGCACACACGCACAAACCCACACAAATTGGCTGCATATACCCACATACATATATGCACACACACGTGTGTGTGTATGCGTGTGTGTGCGTGGGTGCGTGTGTGCGTGCGTGTGTAGAGAGAGAGAGAGAGATCAAATTAATCTTTTTAAAAGCACAATTTATAAATAGTTTATTTACTTCTTTAAACATTCTAAATCTATTTTTATAACACTATTAATTTGTCTGTAAATAGGCCGTTTATTTTCTATTAAACGTGTCACATATTGCATATGCTATTTATATGGCCATGTTTGTATGCATATTGTATGTACCCTTTTGCTTGAGGTTTGTAGATAAATGTTAAATTAGCTGCATTTATAAAACAAATTGTTCATAAAATTTTATTTAATCAATTATGATTTAATTAACATATTTAAAATATTCTAAGAAAATTTTGCCCTCGTTTTTATATTTATTAATTAAATTATTTAATTTTTCCAATTTGCTGTTTTGCATGTTATGAATTAGTAATGAAGTTATTATTATTTATGAATTTTTAAAGGTGCTTGTTGCATGATTGAATTAGCCTGCAATTGAAATCAGTATTGTTAATATTTGTTATAATTGTAATAAGCGTTTTTTTTTTTTTTCTATATATATATAATAAAACGCACAATCTTTGGCTTCCGAACACTATTATCATATAAAAGAATGTTTTTACCTTCACCTAATTAGTTATGTTTTTAGGGCTGGTATGAGACTACTGAAATTTTTTGAAAAACGATGTAAAGAGCTAAATCTAAACTATGATGAAGATGCAGTCCGACAACCACATCTTAAATTACAGAAAATAGACAGAAACGGTGACCAAAACGGTTTAGAACACAGCGATGATGATTCAAATCATAGCTAGAGAAGGATTTTTATTTGTATGTGTAACAGTTTACAGTGATTTGCCTTCCTTAAAATCCTAAATTAAAATTACTTTTTATTATAAATCGTGTGGATTTTAACGTAGCAAATTGCTGATAAAATCAATCGTTTATTGACAAGATATACTTTTGGAGTTTATCTTACTGTGAATTTTTTTTTTTTAGTTTGAACAAATTATCAAAGCTCATTTAAGTGTTAAAAAGTGCAAGGACTTGACCGACTCAGTAGAGGTTATTCATATTAACGGCTGATTTGGTTGATATCTAAACGCTTTTTCTATTCGTAGATAGTTTTGCACATGTTTGATTCATAAATTTCTCCCGGGGTTTAGCTGAGATTAGTATTATTTACCGAAACACAATCTTCTCAGCAAAAACCTTTTAATATAAAGTAAACCAGTGTGGGAGACTTTATTTCATAATGTCCCAGTTTAAATATCCAATTTAGCATTTCACTTATTGTTCCATAAATATTGTTATATGATCCACTTGATTCATAAATTATTTATTCGCTTAACTATATATTTACACTTTAGAATAGAATGAAAAAAATCATATATATATCTGTCGTCTTACAAACATTTTTTAAATCTCTTCATGATCTTAGTATCTCACACTCAAAGCTACACGCTAGTGTAGATTAAAATTTTAGATTCTTTTTATTTAAATAAAAACTTGGATTTTTTTCTTTCTTTTTCTTTTTTGTTTAAGCAAAATCCAGGCTTGTTCATTAATAATTTTATCGCCGAATTTTTAGAGTTTTAATTTTTCATTCAAATTGTTATTATATTAACGGTACTTAGTTTTGCCACAGTGTGAAATCTACTTCATCATTTCCAAGATTGTTGAGATAAACCTTGGGCTGGACCTACCCAAATTTTAAGTATAAAAATTTGGACATTGAGCATTATCTTGTACAGCACAATTAAAAATAATTTGTAACGAATGTATGTTTTATACAATTAATTTGGTAATAAACACCTTCAAAATCAAAATCTTTATATTTCTTACTAACGAGATTGCATCGTCTTTATTATTTTAAGATAATACAATTGTTTTACAATAATTTGAATATTTCAAATTCTAATAATGAAACGTTTAAATAATAATTAATGATGTCCACCATGAAAAAGTTCTTCGTCCTTTTTTCTCCATATTTCTATATTTTCAGGACTGTTTGCTAATACAGAAAAATGTAACATTTAATTGAAAATTCGAATAGAATTGTATTAATAAAAGTCCATATTTCTTAAATACTTACATATTTTTTGAAGCTTATAAAAGAGAGGACTGCCTAAGAGACATCCCCATAACCACCATTTGAAACACCAGGAATGTTTCAAATAATATTTAAATGGAAATTGGGCGATCTTTGCCGATATAGTGTATGGATATTTCATTGGTCTCGACACATTCTCAGCCATGTTTGCTAAAATATTTCATTCCTTTTAATACATATTCCCTCCGTAATGTTAGCACTCGTATTACATAAACATATATTTCCTATTGAGGTTATTTTATTAGGTACTATTACGGGAACGAATCGTTAATTTTTCATTCAATTATTAGCAAGGGTCATTTCATTTATGAATATACTTTAAATATTTAAATATTATCTTACATTTGGGCTAAAAAAAAAAGAGAGAAAAAAAAAGAAGAAAAAAAATATATTACACACGATATGATTGCGCGAGTTAAATGCGAATTTTTCTAAATCAAATTCATGATCGATATTCAATGAGACTGTTGGAATACTTAATCAGAGTATTAAAATAGTGAGCTCTTACGATCTTAATTCTCTTTAATTTTGCTGGATTTACTGAACGTGATGAAAGTAAAATCTTCGTTAACCGATGACTTACTCGTACAAGAATGAGAACTGCCGTCGAGTGCTATTGTTCATATTCCCTATTTCTCTAATTCAAAATTAAATCCATTTTTACATGCATTTGCTATAGATTTTCGCTGCTCACTTGGTAATAATGATGCCTTCGATAACGGTCTTGAACGAGCATCGAAATTCAAATTTTGAAAAACTCAATCATAACGATAAGACAATTTCAAGGAGGCTATTAAACTGGAAATTATTTATTTATTTATTTTTTTCTTTTTCTTTTTCTTTTTTTTTTTATTTTTTACAAATTTTTGTTGCACATAATTAAATTTCGATAGGATACAGCTTGCGTATTAATTACTAAAATTAATAGAGGCTACATTGTTGAATGTTATGAAATTACGGTAATTTTCATTAGAGGCTTAGTTAATTCAATACGTTCAATATGAATTGTAAAAGTTAATTGAACGGTGACGTTATTATTACGTAGAACTTTAAATATGAAAAAACAATCGAAAAAATCGTAAATAATAAAGAGCGAAGTAACAAATAGCGAACCTTATAAATTAAAAATAAAGAAAAAAAAAACACCAAACATACAAGACATAATACACAGCTATTCACCTATTACATAAAATCAATTAAACTAATGAAGCTGTTATATTAAACAAAAAAAAAATGTATATGTTTATTGTTAAACAAAACGTACACTTATTTCTTATGCTTGAACAATAAATTTATATTAGAAATTTTACGCACACGCTCGCCGTCACCTTTTTGCTTGTTTCAGGATTTGTTAGACCTTGAATTAGCTATTAAAGATTCAATCGGATATCACCGAATTTAGAACTTTGGATACTAGCGTATGAAGACAATTGAGCAGATATAAAGTATTATGAGCGTGTTCGCATATCTTATGGCTAATCAATTAAATCTTACCAATTGTTTTGTAGTTAAACCAGGTTAGGCATAAATGATAATATAAATATCTAAAATTTGATATTTGATACATTTAAGAAACATACTTTGCAGGTCGATTAATGTGTGTCTTATTTTTTTTTTATACTACAATGTAAGGATTTTTAAAATAGCCTCAAGTTGACCGAATATTTTTTTAAAATCTCACACTAATCTCACTAGTCGTGTCAAGATAATTATGTTAATTCATTTTCATTACTTTCGATTAATATTAAAATTTCGTTGTCATTAATCTTGGTCGCTTGATCGGAACGCGTTGCTCTGCCAAGATTATTACATCTAATTATAATGTTACTATGAAATTATATGGAATTACTGAATTTAAGTTAATTAAGTTCTTTGCAGCGTATTATGTCAGTGTCGATAATCCAGTTTTATACATCTATATATAAATTAATATTAAAAATCTGTAATAAATATAAAAACATAATTGTTCAATTGTTTAATGTTATTTTATAACATTAAAAATATTCTATAATAATATTATATTTTTAAACATATATATATATATATATATATATATATATATATAATGTTGAATAATAATAATTAAAAATAATTAATTTCTGCTATATATAAAAAACAGCTTCCTAAATAAATTGAATGAATAGATTTATATAACGATTTATATGATTACATTTGTTATATAGATTTTTCTTTTGAGCATGTATTTTCTTGAATAATAAATTATGTTCAAAAATCTGAAAGCGATTTGTTGATGAATAATTTCACTATTTAAATTATTTGATGCAAAGCATAAAATTTGCATATTGCTTGAAAAAATAAGTTTTCTTCAAATTTTATTAAAAAAAAAAAAAAAAAAAAAAAAAAAAAAAAAAAAAAATAAAAATAAAAATAAAAATTATGCCGTTTAAATTGGATGTTTGTCATCTCATATTTTGTTTCGATGAATTTTGTTCGCACGTAAACAATAATATTTTTAAAAGTCTCAAATCGTAGAATAATTCGGTAAAACTCTCTATAAAAAATGGGTCAATAAATTATAAATTTATATTTTGTTTTTCAAAATATGAGATGAATCATTAGTCGAATTAAGAAATACTAATCAAAAGATTGTTGATAGAACTACATAAAAAATATGATAATTAATGCTATCATAAATTTATTTAAATAATAGGGAGAATAAATCCAAATATACTTAAAATGCTAATGGCCAGTATTATATTATAAATTCCAGAAGAAAGTATTTCTATCAAGTGCCGACACTTGTTTACTGCATGTGTAAAATAAATGGAATTAATTAGATTACTTATTAGTCCAGTACATCCAGCTTCGACAAATACTTTGAAAAAAAAAAAAAAAGATTATTAAATTACGTACTCATTATGCCGATTTTATTTAGGCATTGCGAAAATATAAATTTTAATATATTAACAAGTAGGACGTAATTTTTATACTGATAACATAGTCAAGTGTATATAAGAGCAAATTTTGCGCAAGTTTACAAAAAAAAAAAAAAAAAAAAAAAAAAAAAAAATTCTTATAAAGCATTATACTTAATAGATCAGCATTTTGGTGATCATGAAAAAGCGAGTTAAGCGACGTTAACACTTTTCTTTAGCTTATCTTTCATAAGCACTCATTTCTAGAAATTTCCGTGTCACATAATATTATAATTGACTTGCACGGGCATGATAAAGAATTTAGCCCAGATTATTATCATCCTGTTGACGAGTTCATTAATGGCTTTTGAAATTCGTATGCATTTACAATGTTTTAAAAGAGATATTAAAAGGAAAAATCTATAAAAATTAATCAATAATTGCAGCAAAGGAAGGCATCAGTGCAAGATTTTTAACGGGAATTGTAACTGTATAAGGAGAGCCCTAGTTAACAATTTGATTAGAAACTACAGTTAAGGGAATGATATGGTCATTGATGCTTGATAGATAATAAGAAGCAAAAAATGCATTTATTGAAACATATAAGATTTAAAATTAAGATTCCAATAAATAAATTATAATTGTAGAGAACTTTCAAAGCATTTACTGACATTGCTTTAAATACATTGCGGGCGCTTAGCTGCTCTTATTCATATTTATCTCGGATATTGAAATTGTTTACGAAATTTTTTATTAACTATTGCTATCGAATCTAATTAATTAATTTTTGATGCTATATTGTATATTTTATTTACGTTTAAATGTACAAAAATGCAATTGAAATCGTATACATTTTTACGTCCATGTATACACACACACACACACACACACACACACACACACACACACACACATTATATATATATATATAACTTTTGATTTATTTGCTTATATTAAGCTTGTCATGCATATATTTTGCTTCTTTTCCGAAAATTTTTTTAATACTATAAAATATTCAAGAAATTCGCTTATAATTGTTCATTGATAAATACATTTTACATGTTTATATAATTAATCTGTAATGATACAAAACAAAGTTTTACAGTCTAATACTCACTAAGTTTATTAATTTAAAAAATGAAAATAGTTAATCTTCGATACTGAAGTCTGATTGCAGACAATACTCCATAATTGGCATTTTTTGGGAATAGATTTATTTTTATTTTGATACTGTAGGAATTTATCATTTGAAATCATATTCATGTCTTATTCTTGCTGTGTACGTTGATAAATTTTTCAACTGCGATTTTCACTTAAAATTTTAAGAATCAGTATACTATTTAAAATGCATGCACGTGCATATGTGAATATATATTATGTATAATAAAATAAAATGCGTTTCTTATCTCAGATTATGTAATTCTAATTTGACCAATTACCTTATTATATTAAAGTTCGTAATAATTGAATATTCTGGAATTTCTTTTTATGCTAATAAAAGCATTTATTGTATAAAACAGTCTAAAATTATCAACTAAATAAATAACTATAGCTTCTACTGCCTGTATATAATATTATAATCGACTACAAAGGTAGTCGACGATAAACAGTTTTTAAAAAAATCCACAGAAAATGTAATTTTTTCGAATGTTAAATTATGTAAAATGGAAAAAAGTTTCCTTATAGCGTTACAATTTTATGTTACATACATGGGGTTATGATTAGAATTATTGTTATGTTGAGTATTATTCGATAAAGATACTTAAAAGTAAACAGTATTGCTTTCTTTTCTTTCTTGTCTTTTTTTTTTTTTTTTTTTTTTTTTTTTTTTTTTTTTTTTTTTTTTTTTTTTTTTTTTTTTTAAAAAATTTTTTTTTATTTTAATAAAACCGTTTTTTGGTAAATGTTAACTTATACGCACGATGTATGAATTGTTTTAAAATTCGACATGCATAGCGTTCACAAATTTATTGTCAGATATTAATATTAATATATTGGACATTGGTAAGCTTTTTATTTCAAAGCCGATGAAACTTCATGATATTAGCTCTGATAACTAATAGTTTAGAATGTAGCTATTAAAAGATAAGAGAGACTCGGTGTGTAGGATATAGATTTTGGCCCTCGAGTCTTTTATTAAGATGCATAAACTTACTCAGATTTGATGGTTCAGGATAAATAAATTAATGACAGTTTATAATTTTAAATTGTGGACTATCGATGAATAATAAATATGTGTAATTAATATAAAAATTCGCAGCTGCATTTCTCTACACTGAACGAAATTTCTAATAACGAAAATACAATTTTATAATTCTGCATTATGTTATATTCAATTTCAAATATGTAAAACAATAAGACCGTTAAAAGCTGAGAAATCGATAAAATTGGCAACAACGCTGGCAGTATATATTGTACATAACGTTTTCTAAGAGATTAATTCTTTGAAAAATTGAAAAATACTTATAAATTTTGATCAATAAAACGTATGGCAGTGTCACCATGCGGTAAAAGTGATTATTAAAAATTAAATAAGGTAAACTTCCAAAATGCACGTTAAATGTTTGATCGTTATATTTCAAGATGGCCTTGCGTTTACGAAATATTAATCCCATCCCATTGTTATTAAGAAAGCTTCGTTTATGTAAATAAATAAATAAATAATCGTTTGTGGGAAGAAGCCGTAACGAGTGCGTTAAACTTTCTGCTTTTTCAAATGGTATTAACTGCCTGTACATATAAATAATATTCACCGCACTTTGACATGGCGCTAGTGTCGACTTCACTACGATAAAAAGTTTCATCTTAAGATTATCCTTGCGTTTGTGGTTTGCAGCATCGTTTTGTATAGAACTTTAGTTTACCGGACGGCAAACGTTTCCACTAGTCATACACATACATGAACAAGTTTTTTAAAGAACGACAGCCAGGTAAACAAAGAAAAAAGCTGAAACGAGAGAAAGAATGTCGCCGAGGAGAACGAGAAGAGGTAAAATTTTCATTAAGATTTATTGCCTATCCTCAAAGCTTCAAAAAGAACTTGTTAATGTTTGGGCGGGCTGGAATACATTCTTTACATTCAAACATGGCGTATTGTTTGGCGCCTTAAATGAAATTTGAATAACTGTTTTTATTGTCTTAAAAATTTGTGCACAAGGGTATTCGAAATAAAAATCATTCAATGAATGCTAATGACGATTATGATTCTTATGCACTATCTGTTACTAATGCTTTTTCAATTGAATTTATCATAACCATGACTAGTTCAATTGTTTCCAATTTTTGTACTTTCAAAGTTTTTATTCCACTCGTGTACTTGTCTATACGAATGCTCGTTTGCATGGATGGATGAATGTTTAATTATGTAATAAGAAGCATATGCATGGATGCACGCATATGTATATATATATATATATATATATATATGCATATGGAGGATGCATATGTATATATATACAAACACAAACGCATACGCGCGCGCGCATACATGCACAAACACGTTTACCATACCCAACTTGTTGAATCGAACAATTTTATATAATTGTAAAGTGAACATTCCATTTTAGGTACTATAAGAGAAAATATTACTGAGATATGTAATGATAATAGTTTGAAGTCTACTTCTAAAATACTTCGAAGTACTTACAGAACTAACAAAAGTAAGTATCTCTGTATATTATAAATAAAGTATTTATTTAAATTTTACTTCTTTTTATAAGGTCAAACTATTAAAGGTTCGGAAGAAGAAATTGATAATCCTGTAGAAGTTACTAGTTTGTTGGATAATACTGTTAGTTTTGTAAACGATACTTCATTAAATTCGAGAAAACGAAAGAGACAAGCTGATACAGCATCAACGAGTCAAGATGAATTGTTAAATTTGACTACTGAAGAATCAAAGAATAAATCAAAGACTAAAAAAAAACATGTAAAAACTCCACACTCTACAAAGAAAGTTAAAAGTGACAAATCTCAAATAATAGATGTGAATTTACATATTGTTAAAGATGAATCTTCTAATATAAAAACTCAAAAGGAAAAAAGACAAGTATCTTATAGTATTAATAATTTAACTAGTAAATACGAAGAAATTCCAGAGATGGTATCAAGAAAGAAATTGAAATCGGATAAAGATAATTCGTATAGACATAAGAAAGAATATAAGACACCAGAGAAATCTCACAAAGCATTACTTAATAATGTTAAATCAACAGAAAAAGAGGTTACTCCAAAAAGTAGTCCTATCAATGTTTCTCTTACACCGCATCGTTCTACAAAAACTCCTAAAAAATCTCCAATAAATTTGGGATCTCCCAAGACGCATGCACATGATTCTTTTAAGCTATTAAATGTACAAAGAAAGTTATCTATTGTTGATTCGCCGTCTTCTTCAGAAAACTCAAATCATTCATTGAAGCTACTTAATTCTTCTAATTTGGAGAATAGCTCTTTTGAAAATACAAATATAAGTCACAAAAAGACAACGTCATTGTTATTAAAACCATCTTCGAGTAAAAAAAAATCGATTTCACCTGTATTTAAAGTAAGACCAAGATTTTCTAAATCTCCAAAAATTGTTTTAAGAACTCCAAAATCTAAATCAACAAAGTCAATGAAAACATCGACATCCAAAAAAGCTTTGAAAAAATCATCCGTTTCACCATCGAAATCTAAAAAAAAAACCATAATTAATGAATCATTAAATTCCGTAAAAACTCCAGCTGAAAGTGTAAAATTGAAAAAAACACAAAAATTTGATTTAGAAAAAGTATCGAAGTCATTAGTCAAAACTAAAGACTTGTCTGAAACAGAAACATCGCCAAATCCTGAATCACCAATTAAAACTATGAAAACAACCAAATCTAATTCATCGTCGAAATCAAAAGAATCAAACAAATCAATAAAATCAGCGAAAAAAGAATCAAAACTATCACCTCTAAACTCTTCTAATATAATTTTTACAAAGTCTAAGAGGCTATTGAATATTACACCCTTAAGTTCCAAGAAAATGCCTAAAATTATTTTATCAACTAAAAAATCATCCAAATCCAAGGCATCGGCAAAGAAATCAAGAAAATCTTTATCGCCAGCTAAAAAATCAAGCATATCTGTATCATCGACAAGGAAATCGAGAATATCTGTATCACCAACAAAGAAATCAAGAATATCTGTATCACCAACAAAGAAATCAAGAATATCTGTATCACCAGCAAAGAAATCAAAAATATCTGTATCACCAGCAAAAAGATCAAGAAAATCGGTATCACCAGAAAAGAAATCAAGAGGATCAGTATCACCAGCAAAAAGTTCAAGAAGATCTGTATCGCCGGCAAAAAAATCAAGAAGATCGGTATCACCAGCAAAAAGATCAAGAAAATCGGTATCACCGGCAAAAAAATCAAGAAAATCGGTATCACCAGAAAAGAAATCAACAAGATCTGCATCATCAGCAAAGAAATCAAGAAGATCAGTATCACCAGCAAAGAAATCAAAAATATCTGTATCACCAGCAAAAAGATCAAGAAAATCGGTATCACCAGAAAAGAAATCAACAAGATCTGCATCATCAGCAAAGAAATCAAGAAGATCAGTATCACCAGCAAAGAAATCAAGAGGATCGGTATCACCAGCAAAGAAATCAAGAGGATTGGTATCACCAGCAAAGAAATCAAGAATATCTATATCACCAACAAAGAAAACAAGAAGATCCATATCATCAGTAAAGAAATCAAGAAGATCTGTATCACCAGCCAAACAATCAAAATCTATATCACCTGTAAAGAGATCAAGTAGATCTGTGTCGCCGGCAAAGAAATTACTATCTGTGTCACCAGCAAAAAAATCAAGAAAATCTGTATCACCAGCAAATAAAGCATCTAAATCTGTTTCACCATTAAAGAAATTGAATAAATCACCTAAAATTGCTTCTCCGTTAAAAGTGGCTGACATATCAGCAAATCTGTCTATAAAAAAATCTGTTAATGAGTTTATGAATTATTCATTTTTATCATCTATGTGTCCAAAAGTAGTTGTAAATAAACTTTCCTCTCCAGTATTGAGAAATTCAATTTTAACTGCAAGACGAAACCAACCTACTATAAACTTAATACCTGTAGATCATGTTATTAAAAGCTCGTTTAATTTGGATAATCAGAAAGTGCCATTCAGTGATTATAAGAGTTTATCTTCTATAAATGATCGATCTGTCTTAGAAAATTCTAGTTTAAATCAAGATTCATCAATTGAGAGTTTGAAGAAAATAAATTCAAATTCAAAGACTACAAATACTTTAACACCTAAACAAAAGATTAAACGTTTGTTAAGTTTATCATCTGATAAAAAAATATTAAGACAATTAAGTAGTTCCATCGTGTTAAATGGATCTTCAACGCCAAAACCTAAAGCTGTTAAAAGATTAAATAATCAATCAAACATTAAAATACATCAGCCATTAATAGAAGATCAATCAGAACCATCTTCAAATGAAACGTCGCTTATAAATATGAGTGATGTTTTTGATTTGGATGGCTCAGAAAAAGATATTACGTTCGAAATTAATAAAACTAATTTAGACAAAAGAAAATCCTTGCAAGACGTAAATGTGTTTCAAAAGAGTAGTAAGAATAATACATTTGAAATCATTAAAGATACTTCAAGTGAAACTAAAGTAAAATCTATAAAAGATGATACTTATGAGTTGGAAACATCACAAATTGGGTTAGAAATGGAATCAGATAAAAAAATATTGAATGAAATAAATATAAATGAAGAATCCGAGTCTAAGAAAAGTTGTAGAGTACATTTTGCTAATTCTAATTTACAGATTCAAGCAAATGCTATAAATAGAATAGGTACACCTGGCCACGCAATTCAGCAAAATAAAATATCAACATCAATAAGCAAAACTCCTACTCGTAAATCATTTATTAATAAAATAGACCATCGGAAAAGTGTGGGTTCTGCGTCTAAGTTACAGGTCAAAACACCTATGAATACACCTTTAAATAAAAGACTATCTAATTCATTATCAAATACAAAATCTAAAAAAAGTATTCACGAAGCACAAATTGCTTCGGTTAATCGCCTAAGTAGGCCAAAGCCAATCATAAATTCCGAAAAAAAATTAGGTATAATAAATTACATAATCTACATTTTACTATTAAAAATAATACTAAAAGTATAAGTTATTTATTTAGGTACAAAAACACCAGTGACTAGGAAAATTCCTAATTTTGCTGACATTCACCAGAAAAATTTTGAAAAAATGGAATCATTAATAGACTTAAAGAAAAGAATTGAAAAAAGACATTTAACAATAAATACTGCCACATCAAGTGCAAAGAAAAGTAAGATGAATAAATTTTTTATAATAATATATATATATATATATATATATATATATATATATATATATATATATATATATATATATATATAATATATCAATTAATTGATAAAAACGAAAATTATATTTATCAAATCTTATTAGTACTTGCAACAAAGTATCAAAATGGAAGTAATAAACTAGCTCCATTGGATTCAACAAATGGTATCTACAATAAATTTGGATTTAAGCTAAGAAAGAATGATGCTGTTAGCATGATTTCTAGGAAACAGGCGGGTATTGTAGAATCAAGGTAAATATTAATTGAAATATTTAAAATTTTAATTCTCATACTTGTTAATTTATATAATAATATAAAATTATATTTTTTAGAGAACAAAAGCGAGAAGATGCAAGAAATATTCTTAAAGGTGTGCGAATGAATCGACGTTTTGAATTACAAATGAAATCTCGTATAAAAAATTCGTAATAAGATATAATTCTCATTATTATTTTTTAAAGAAATTGTACTTTTCATGTAAATATAAATAACTATTTACAATTCTATATACTTCTACCATTGAAGAGTTATTTAATAATATTTAGTTTGATATTACCAATACACGGTAGTTTTTTCTTATTGAGAACAACAATTAATTGTGCTGATTAATAATTTTAGGAATATAATTTTGGCTTTAAGTTTTAAAATAAGATAAGCTTGTGCGTAATTTAATTTAAAATATCAGAATGATGTGATTTTTCTAACATCAAATATTTCCTTTGACAATGACGTAGCATGTATAAAGGATATTTTGTTTAAAAATTGTAAAAAATGTTACGCACTAGTCCTGTAGTTAAGGATTTAATTAGTTTACATAATATGTATATCAATAGGCTTATTATTAATTATTATTTGTAAAAAAGTACTGAACTTGTCTTAAAAAAAGAAACAAATAAGTACATTTTTTATTGAATTATAGAATACCCGTGTACTAGTATGCATTTTCAATAAATTACTGCAATAAAGATATAGTTATATACAACTATAGTTATCAGAAATCGATTTTTATTTTTATTTCAATTTTAATAATAATGCATTTGTAACTGATTTTACAGATGCATGTATTATATATTAAATTTATTTATTTAAGCAACATTGTATGAGTATAAAAACATTCCTTAACATTAGATACATAATTTTTAAGAAATATATATCATAAAAATGAGTATATAATTTTTTTAATGTTCAAATTAGGAAATAATAGTATATTTTATTAATCTACACATGTAATTAAAAAAAAATAAACAAAAATGTATGTATATTATAATTTTTTGTATTATATTTTACCTCTCTATATGAAATTGTTTAATTTTAAAGCAATGTAATAAAATAATTACTATGAGAAATTTATATAAATGACACTTATAAAATAAAAATATATTTCTTTAATCATTTTTAGATTAACCTCTATCGCAATGTATTTATATTTTATAAGCACAACATGCATGTGCAATTAGCAGAAAAACCATAGAGGAGGAACGAAAAAAATTTATAAAAATAACCACGTTTATTTGTTGATATTGATTATTGTGAAAATATCTGAATGTTTTTCTTTAAGCATGTGTATTGTCATAATTTTATTTTATAAATAAAAGCATAGAGATGTTTTATTTGATTGGATTAGGTTTAGGTGATGCAAAGGATATTACAGTAAAGGGTTTAGAAATTGTTAAAAAATGCGATCGTGTTTATTTAGAAGCGTATACTTCTATTTTAACAATTGGAAAAGAAAATCTTGTAAGTATTTTTAGTTTTCTTATCTTAAACATGAAATTTTGTAAATATCATTTAGCATTCGTTATTTTTTATGAATAAAGTTTTGTTTTATATTATAACCTAAATAAAGTATGATTTTAATAGTTAACTATTAATACTTGTATTTCTTATAATTTTCGTAATTTTATAAGTTTTTCTTCTATGTCAAATCTATAGACATTATAGAATGTTGTAATTACTATTATCTAAAAGTATTAATATTTAAAATTATTTTATGTGGATGTAGGAAGAGTTTTATGGTCGTAAGCTACTTGTGGCAGATAGAGAATTGGTAGAAAATAATGCAGATATAATATTGGAAAATGCCGATAAGGAGGATATTGCGTTTTTAGTTGTTGGTGATCCTTTTGGTGCAACAACTCATACCGATCTTGTATTAAGATTACAACAGCAAAAAATTAAATTTCAAGTCATTCATAATGCTTCCATAATAAATGCTGTTGGCTGTTGTGGTTTACAATTGTATTCTTTTGGAGAAATAGTTTCAATACCTTTGTGGACAGAAACTTGGCAGCCAGATAGTTTTTATGATAAAATTTTGGGAAACTATAAAAGAAACTTACATACCCTTTGTTTGTTAGATATTAAAGTAAAAGAACCGACTTTAGATAGTATCGTTAAAAAAACAAAGTTTTATATGCCACCAAAATTTATGTCCGTGTCAGAAGCAGCAGATCAACTTTTACAAATATTAGAAAAGAAACAAAGCCTCAGTGATCAAGAATTGAGTAAGTTTTACCTTTTAAAATTAAGGACAATTAATTTGTAATTGATTTTTAATTAACGAATTAATATAATGGATTTTGTACAGCTCTCACTCACTCGAGTCTCGTAGTGGGACTTGCAAGAATCGGTGCTAATGATCAGGAAATATGCATTTGTTCGCTTTCTAAAATGAGAAAGATTGATTTAGGTTTACCTTTGCATTGTCTCGTTATACCTGGAAATTCTTTACATCCTCTGGAGTCAGAGTTTTTATTACAATATGCCGTTGATGACAAAGAATTGCAACTGTTGAAACATTAAGAAGAAACGTATATGATAGTGTGTCAATTATAATAAATATTTACATATTATATTATTTGTTTTAAAAGTGTATTTCAACTTTATTTAAAAATCTATACCATTTGTATTTTTTTTAATGTCAATGAAAAAAGACTGTAAAAATTAATAAACATATGTTGGCATTCACGCATCTATCGTGTTAGTCAATAGTGAATAAATTGTTATTATAAAAATTACATTAAATAAGATAGTAAGAATATTTTTCTATTTATATTTATAATTATAAATTATAAAATAGTGTAATTTTATCTCGTTTATTTTAATAACAAAGAATGTAATTATCGAGAGGAGTAAGGATTCAAAGAAATTAAAATATTTCAGAGGTCAATCCAATTGTTTGCCTATAATTAGGTAAAAAAAAAAAGAAAGAAAAAAAAAAGAAATGTTGATAGTTGCTCAGCAAATATTGTCAATTCGAGAAATGTAAGAAATGTAAGAAATGTAACGAAAGCTCTATATTAATAAATAATTATTAATACATAAATTACAATGTTTTATCATTATTCGCAAGTCTATTGTGAATACAACTTTATAATTTATTTTATTATCCGACTGCTTGAAATTTATTATTCACATAAACATTAAAAATATAGATGATTGCTTTGAGACGTTTTCAAGCAGTAATTAATTTAATAATACTTAAAGATATCATCTTGCGCGTTCGAACATTCTTTGCCAGATTTTCATACTCTTGGACGCAATAATAACTATAGCTTAGCGAATTGCAGTCACGCGACCATAGAAACTACCGAATCAATGGAAAAATATCGATCGACCCTTAGCAAAAGGTGACACCGAAAAACATGCTCAGTTGAGTGGAGGACTTTCCACTTGCCACGTTTAGTTGCCGAGCATTTAACTAATATTTCTCTACGATTTAGTCTTTTTGTTTTTTTTTTGTTTTTAATTAATTTTATTCTACTATACTCAACATTATTTAATAATTCATCGAGGGTACGTTCAAAATTTCCTATTTATTTTGTAAGATTTATAAGATACCAATTAATAAGGCATTATGAATTGCGATATTTATCTTTTAAAGCGCCGTTGAATGATCGCTTTCGATGATGAATTATAATTATTTTTTTTACACATAGAAACATCGTGTATAATGAATATATTATGCAATATAATTAATGCAATCAATAAGAGCCTAGATTACTATCTACAATTTTCTTATTTAGTTTTTACTCTGAATGTTGTATCACCTATAATTGTATATTAAATAGATATATCCTTAAATTACGTAATACACTGTTTTTTTTGTTTTTTTTTTTTTTTTTTTTTTTTTTTTTTTTTTTTTTTTTTTTTTTTTATAAAAAGCAAACTGCAATATTCTTTTCGACAACATATTCAATACAGCTTATTATGTTTATTTTTTGTAAGACTCCGTGTTCCTTATAAAGTAACATAAATTACATTTTAAATACGAAATATATTATTGAAAAATATTTATATAATTTAATTTTTATATAACGTTTTACACACGGTACATTTAAATATGTCGATGCGGCTTTCAGATAATTGCAAAATTGAAGTTAAGAAACAATGGCGACAATTCAAGATTCCAAACTTGACCTCTTATTAACTCCAAGAGTACCACAAGGATTAGCAGCAGCCGTTGAAAGTTTAACGAGAGAGGTGATTCGGCATCAACCTGAAAATATTTATGTTTTTGCGGCTAATCATTTTGAGAAACTTTTGCGTCTTCGCGAGCAATATGGCAACGATACCGTAAAGAAAAAGAACATGAAATTTCTACTTGACCTGAATGATACAATAAAGAAACGGCAGGTCAAGTTAGAATCGAAGGAGAGAAATAATTCGGATCGCTGTTATAGATGGTCATTAAATGAAACGGCAAATGTGTTGGAGAAACATCGAAGTATTTTTGGGGAAGAAGGTAAAAAAATCAGCACCACTGAAATTCGAGCATTAGCTAGCGCGTCGATCTCAATGCCATCAAAAATTCAGTATAATACAGTTAAAAAAAAATACGAAACACACCAGACGGAAAAGAAAAATAGTCATGATAAATATGCAACTACCGTATCAAGTAAAAAAAAAAAGTCATTGCATCACCACTCTCCAGATTTGTCAAATACTTCAACAAGTGATTCCCGAAGTGTGCCTAAAATAATTCCGCAAATCCCATTAGTAAAGGATATAAAAACGGAATTAAAAAAAAATCGAATTAGTAGTAGAGAGAGGAAGAGAACAGTCGAGGAGAAAAGGATGCAAGTTTCTTGTGACTATATTAAGGAAACGTTGATTGAAAAGACATTTAGAAAATCCATAGAGAAAACGAAAAAAAATTTTGAAAGCCAAAGTGAACAAAAAAAAAATCTTTACTCAGGAAGCAGTATAAAAAGAAAGCCCGATATAACACATAAAGTAGATTCGCAAAAAATAAAAAAGTCTTCGAGAACACCTAAAATGGACGGTGTTAGGAACTATGTTGTGCAGAATTTAATTGGGATGGCGAGTTTAGATGAGCTACAAACGGCAAGTTACGTTGAAAAAGTTCAAGAAGTAATAGATGAAACATCAATGATTATAAAAGAAAAGGTTGAAGCGCTAAAGACAAGCGTTATAGAGGCTGCAAAAGCGAAACAATTAAACAGTGAAAATCCTTTGAATAACGACGATTATTTTAATATTTTAAGAAAATCTGCAGACAATGATAATAAAAGTAGCGATAAAAATTTATTTGAGAATTCGTCTTATCAGAATACATTTAAAAATAGTAGCTTTACAAATATCATTCAAGATAATTCTGATAATTCAGAATCTATCGATAATGTTTCATTGCCAGCTGTAAGGCCTCCTTCCTCTAAGTCAACTTCACGAAGTTTATCATCGCGCAGTGACTCTGACGATTTAATTTTGCCACCAATTTCACCGGAATCTAACAAATCAACAAAAGTCGTAGAAAAATTGGTTCTTCCAATACTGTCACCCCCGCGCAGTACTTCTATAACTCCCGATTCAATTAATTGTAATGAGAACATTGTGACAAACAAGACGACAAATAACGATGAAGTCTTTCATGATAGTTTAAATGTAACACCAGATTTGATCGATGAAACACAGAAGTCCGACTATCTTGAAACATTGGAATTTGCGGATAAAAATGATAATAGCGAACGTCCGCTTGAAAATCTGAAAAATAAATTGTTAGAAATTGAAAAAGTACAACGACGCATTGAAAATGTACTCGACGATACAGTAAACATATCTGATAAAAATATCGATGAGGTGAAAGAAAGTCATGAAATTAAAGATATATTGAAAATTGAAGATAAACTGTTAGAAATTGAAGAATCTGAAAAGCGAATTGAAAAAATTTTAGATTGTCAAACCGCGTCTGTTAATCAATCGGAAATTATCAATAATACAAACATAAAAAGTAAACTGCAAGAATTGGAAGATACTGAAAGAAGAATTGAAAACATTTTTATCGATAAGAGATCTATAGATGAATTTGAAATGATAGACAATGATAATGAACAAAAAAATATTACCGAATATAGTGAGAAACATGAGATTAGCAATGAAAATAATAATAATACTCCAATCTTAAATATCGACGATAATGATTTGACAAAAAATAATGCAATGCTTTCGGAAGAAAATTGGAACTTGTCACCGAATTCTTTTATACTAAGTGAAGGTTCTCCTTATGAAATTCCAGATTTTGTTACCACTGTGATAATACCAGAGAGAGATCTTAGTCCAGATTCTGATACATTACAAATAGAAGTAGAAAATGGAAAAATTTATTCAACTCTAGTATCATCGAAGGAAAAAAACGATAGCCAAATAGAAAATTGCTCAAACGAATTGCAAGATAAACAAAAAATTAGTATCAATGATGCTTTTGGCGAAGTTGTAAATACCGTTAATACAGATATGTCTATGATCGATGTAAACTTCATTCGCGGCATTAAATACGATATAATAGCACCTCGTCAGAGCTTAGACTTGATACATGAAGAGCGCGATAAAGAAACCGAAGATGCAGATTGCATTAATTCAGAGGATGAGGAAGTATTGAAAGTGGTGACAAGTTCATTGGACGAAATTTTAAAAAAAAATAAAGTTGAATACGTATCGAAAGAAGAAATAGAATTAACTATGTGTAATACTTTAACGGAAGAGGCAAGTGATTTATCGAAAGCAATGCAAGTCAAAGAGTACGAAACTAACGAAACGAGAGAAATTAGTGCAGAAATTAATGATTGCCTAGAGAATACTGAAAGTCTGAAAAATTCATTGGACATTGAAGAATCTAGTAAAATATCGATCGAGTCCTCAAATGAAATAAAAGATACGTCTGTTACCACCGATCGATCTAGTTTGCCTTTTGATCCTGCTAGGCCTCTTGTACCAGAATTAAATTTAGACTCGTTACTTGATTTAACAATTTCGTCGTTCAATTTAACCGACGATGAGCAAAAAGAAGAAAATAAAAATGAAAGCCAAAATTTTAATTCTTTGAAGATACATACGAGCCCTACGGAAGATACGAATAAAAAAGGAAATTTCGGAAATTTTGATAGAGAGGCACTTCAAGAAAAATCGTCGATAGAAGGCAAAATCAAAGACGTAGATAAGATTCAAAATAGTCCTTTGAATATTATTGAAACATTAAAGGAAGATTATTCGCTTAATTCGGAAACGGTGTCGAGCGAATGCATACAAATATTAAACGTTGAAAATTCGGAGCATCTGCAAGATGATCACTATGAGAAATTGCAAGAAAGTCTAAATTACAATGAGTCCGAAGCAATAGAAGATGATCAAATATTTAATGAAACATATGTAATTGAGAATGAGCATACTCTAAATGATTCGAACGATCAAACGGAATTAGATGTTAGCATATCAGCAGACGATTCGATCAATCGTGGTTCTGAAACAGTTAATACTTACGAAATAGAAGAAACTACATTAGGCACAATAGACGATACATGTAGTGAAATTCAACAAAATAAAGAATTAATTGTGTCCACGTGCGAGTGTCGAACAAATGTATTAGACGATCAATTGGACGATGCCGAACGATCACTAACGGAACTGACAACTCATCTTATCGAGCAAGATTGTCAGTGCGAAATCGATAATGATCAGCACAACCAGTTTATTGATTCATCAAACATTTCAAATCAGTCTGTAAACCAGCTGGATTCTGATATCTTAACAATGACAGGCACTAACAATATTCTCAGTCAAGATTTAAATACGTTACAAGAACAAAAAGCTACTACCAATAACGCGCACAATAATGATTTTAAAGTAACCGAAGAAAAGATTGTTATTTCGGAAGAAAGAGTAGAGAATATTCAGGATACGATCGATGATAAAGAACACCGTCAGATTTATGGATCGGAAGTGAGTACAAGCAAGGATGGTTCGTCTGTCGCGTCAAGCACATTACTGTCCGCGGTAACAAAAATTCAAGCCGGTGAGCTAAAAACTTATAAGAAATATTTTGATAAAATGGATAAATGAATGAATTTATTAATTTGTCTTCAGGTATCCGTGGATATTTGACGCGATGTCGTCTTGAGCGTTCTTTAAAACGTTGTAGCTCAACTTTGGATAGTATTCCGTCGATCGAGGATAGTTTTCCGGTAAGTAAAGGAATTCTCCTAAATATGCCAATTCATGTCCGTTATAGACTGTACATAAATTATTATAGCAAATACTGAAAAATCACTTGTTTTAAATATTCACGCTATCTGAGACACAAATTTAAGATGATTCCTCATGCTTAATGCTACTAAATATATTTTTATAGTACTTTTTTGTTTAATTTCTTCAAATCATAAATTTTAATAGATCCATCGATGTAATGTTTTAATTTAAATTTATTTAAAACTATATACAATGAATTTCCATGTAATAAATTGATTTGTCATAAATTAGCACTAAAAATTAACATTATATTGAATATTTAAGCATTTAATTAAAAGAATTAAATTTACTTTACCGAGTGGCAACTGCGCGTGACGTCACATAAGTATATACATATGTGAAACTATTTATACCAGAAGGCCAGGGTAATTTAAAATTGTAGGATTTTCTATTTTCGTACGTTTCTTTATTGTTAATCTATATATTTTAGATCTCATTTACAAGCGATGCATTATTCAACGATGTATAAATTACTTTATTAAGCAAATGGAAAACAGTGTATAGCAAATTAAATATCGATTTATTATTAATTTCATACGTTAATCTTTATTTAAATCTATTAACTAAAACCAATGTTTAAATTTTAAAAATTTATAAATACTGACTTAGATATCATAATATATTTAAATTATATAGATTACCTTTCAATTAAAAAATCAGTATTATAATAATAATATTAAGTATCGAGAAGTCACGCATTGCAAAAATATAAATTTAGATTGAATAAATGGACGTCTGACATGTTTCGATACTTAACTACTGATTTATTACAATTGTCTTGTAATACATTAATGATTGTAATATCCATAAAACAAATTTTAGAGATTTTCATAATTATTGTAATATATGTTTTACATATAATGACAGCATGCAATGAAATAATCTAAAATTAATGATATTTTTGTAGTAATTTATTTATTACTTACAATTTATAAGATTTGTTAAACATTTATTTATCCTGTTTTATAGCCACTTTTATATTTGTTTATTTATATATGCGTTTATTACAAAAAAAAAAAAAAAAGATAAAATTTATTTTAACGTACAGTTATACTCATTTTTTATTCATTGTTCATAATATTTAAATTTTACTTAGATTTTCATCGTAACTTTAGTATAAATTGGTTGAACGTAAATGCATGGTACCGACCGTTGCATCTTAATGATTTGTGGCATGCAATCCTGCGCTCTATTTTTTCAATCGCTAAAATCACATTTAATAAAAATACTGTGTCATACTATATTGCAATATAATATATATATATATATATATATATATATATATATATATATATATGGAATACTTTAGAATTTTAATTGTGACCTACATTTTAAGAATTGGAAAAGTAAAGGTTTTTTTCTCATAATGAATGTTTTAGAATTAAGAAGAACAAATAATAAAATTAAATAATTACAAATAAAATTTTCTTTTCCAGACTATATATTTCCTTTTCCATAACTATATATTCATAACAAATAAATTATTTAATGATTTTGAAACAATGATTTTATATTTTTTATAATGTTTTAATTTTTTATTAATGTTTTTATTAATGTTTATAATTTTTATATATTGTTTATAATATAGGCACATTAACAAAAGTTAAATACATTTATTGAAAATTAAAGTTTTCTATTTATTCGATTAATGGAACAATACTTTGTTACTGTCATACATACATATTGTACATGTATTAATACATTCAAAACTGTAAGAAAGTGCTTTTTTCACTATAAACGATATTTGAAGACTGTGTGCTCTGTAAACAATCTAATAGTTACAATTAAAGTAGAATAATGAGCTATTAAAATTCTTTGTTCTTAAAGAATTAAGGCTTCGATAATCTGTGATTTGAAATTGTGTTAGGCACGATCTTCATGTGAAAACGTAAACAAACAAAATCATTTAATTTTATATTATTTGTCCGTATTAGATAGTAAAAGAAAAAAAAATAACTACAACAACATTTTGTTGATTTAAATACGGGATATTTCAAAGCGATTTATTTAATATGTTAGTTTAATAACAAGAAAAATATTATTGTCAATGCGAGAAAACTGACGCTTCAAAAATACACTCGACGCTTGGAAACTCATATATGTTATATGTCAGTTAGAAAAAGCCTCGAAAGAGATACGTTTCTGATGCTATATATGCTTCGTCAGGCTTATCGTGACCTTGGGATTGACAATGCATTCATTTTCATTAAATGTGCATTTTACACATATTTGGATGATCATGCTAAACGCTAATTCTGATATAACTTTTTTTTTTATACAAATATTTCTTTTCTGATTTCATGATAATTGAAGTAACGAAATTTCGAGTACGTACGTGTTAATTTTTTTCATTGTAAATAAGATGTTATATATAAAATATATTTTTACTTATTAAATGTCAGCATATTTATTTTATCAATTAAAATTTAATTAAAATTTTGATATTTTATATTGAGATTAGTTGAAATGATATTGTAAAACCAATTCATAGGATAATTTATTATTATTTTTGTTAACAAATAAAATTATTTAAGAATAATTTTTAGGTAATTAAATTAATTGTTGATAATGACGTGTTCTTTTTAGAAATTTGATACTTTAATAATTTTTGATATTATTTTAAATCATAACAGTTAAGTGGGAAAATATTTTAATAAATGTTTTATTTATAAATTTATTTAAAATAGAAAAATAATTTCATCCTATTTATATTTAAATATTTAAACAGAAAATTATGTTTTTATCGTAATACCAGGTTATATATTAATTAATATCACTCTAATGTCTATTAGAAAAGATAAAGAAATTTCTGAAATAATAATAAAACAATATAAAATTGTTGAAATTATAAAAATTAGTTATAATTTAATTTAGGATAGACATTATTACGTAGTATATTACGACATAATTATTATTTAAAAATTTCATTACAAAGATGCAATCTCATTTGTCGTGGCGAAATTATAATAAATAATATCTATATGTTGGTAGAATTCTTTCAAATTTTTAACGTCTATTAGATGACTATAAGTATAATGTATATATGCGAAACGCGTGCAAAAAGTTTTTCTAAATAGATTATATGAAAAAAATATTTACTTACACTTTGTCTTATACGACAATTTTAATTGCTTTAAAAATATTGAACTCGTAAGTAAAATACTTAAGCTAAATATATCTTGAACTGAATTTTTTATTTGATATACTTATTCGTTTTAGTTTTCATTTCCTTTCTGCCTGGAACAGTTTTTGACCTAAAAATCATTTCCAGCAACCAAAGCTTAATTATGAATGTAATGTTTTATAGAATTTTCTAGGGTTTTTGAAATTGAAAATTTTCAATCAAATATAGCGATTAGAACCAGTGAAGATTACATTTTTTTGTTCTCGTTTCTGTAATTTTATAGTCTAATAGACTAAATTATTTATTTTGAAAACTATAAAAAAAAAAACAAAAACAAAATAAATATATATAAAGCTAAATATAAAGCTAAATAAAGTAAAGTAACGTAGAAAATTATTTAATGATTATTTAGTACAAAGGTTAACAGTTATTTTCGTCAGAAATTTTTTTTTTTGTATATATATATATATATATATCAGTTCCTTATATTTTCAATTGTGTGTGAAAATAAAAGAATACAAAAACCTTACGGTTGAGTTCATTAGATATCATTTGAAGTTATTGTTATTGAGTTTCAATTTACTATAAGCTCTGTATCATTTTTAGTTTTACATGTAACAAAAATTAATTTATCACTTTGTTTTAACGTTAAAATAATTCCAATAACTATACACACGGCTATACAGTCAAAATTTTATCAAATAGATTTACATTTATTGTTTTGTAATGTTAAAAAAAAAAATTACAAACTAATATGTGAAAAATATATACAGGCGGATACTTCATCTGTATCAAGGAAAAGCATCTCATCTTCGTCACATACAATGCCCATTGTGGATGATGTATCATCAATTTTACAGTCGAAAGAACGGAAAAAACTTCGTCGAGAAACGGCTGTCCAGAAAACGGCGTATTCATTAGAAACTGCTTTTGCCAATAATCAGCTGCAACATACCGGAGAGTTTCATGATTGCTTGCCACTTCCAATTTTCGATACCCGAACTTTCTTCTTCACAACCATTGAAGAGCAGAATTATCAAGAAATAGGTAATACATCCTTGAGTACGGACAAATCCAAAAAGAAAAGTCTCGATTCTATTGTCAATGAATCAAAGGAATGCAATAATAAGGAGAATAAGGAAAGTATAATTTTACATAGAGAAGCTTTAAACAGCACGGATAGTGGAAACGTCGAGCAGGTATTGGGAAAAGTCTTCACAGCTTCAGCAACACATTTATCAGCACAGTCGAATCTCGGACAATTCGGTGACGTTGCACTATTGCCTGCTGACAGCGAAACAATATTACAAAACCGATATTTGAATTTTATAACTAGCGTGGAAGACGTTGTAAGTAATTTATTCAATGATCCGTTAATGATTTCGAATTCGTCACAAAGTGTCATAATCGACGAAATTACAAGATTCGACGAGGCTAAAAGTAAAATTTGCGAATCCGTAGTGGATGAAGCGAAGGATAAGACAACGATAAATGATGCAGCCAAGGAGAAAAAAGCAATCGATGAATATTTTAACGCACAACTTCAATCTCGAAACATCGATGAAAAGTCAAACAAATGTACTTCCAATATTATTGAAATAACTGCCAGTCCAAGTTCTGACGTCGAAACCAAGTCATACGCAGAAAATTCAGGATTTTTTTCAGACGTACCAGCCGACGTTGGAGGTGCGAACGCCAAATCATTTCGAAAGAATGAGCCGATCGGGGAAATATCGGATAAAGTGATAAGTTTTTATGAAACAACAAGAAATGAAGATCTCGAATCAAAGGAAAGATTATCGTTGGAGATAGCTTTGACATCGAGCACCGATGAGCTTATATCGATAAATATCGAGGAAGCTCTGGGTCTGTGCGATAAGAACAATGGCACACGTAAGACGACTGAGCAGAGTAGAAAGTCGTTTACATCGAATTTATCGAGATCTGCTAGTGATTCGCGGGGCAGTAACTTGGAAGGGAACGAGAAGCCATCACCGGCGACGATAATGAAAACGACGGGCGAAAGTGTGGTGGAGAAGAGAGTGGAAAAATCCGAGCTGTCGGACGATGAGAAAAATGAAAGTGTCGTTGGCGATGGAACGAACAAGAAGTCGTCGATAGAAAGAGACTCATCATTGACTGACGGAGAAAATAGCAGTGCACAAGGAATAAAGGGAGAGTCCCAGTAGCAATAGCGTTAACCAATATCCAAGCCTTTTAATTAGTGTTCCTTCTATTATAATTGTAAAAAATTTCTCCATTAAATTAATCGTCAGCTAATAACGCATGCATAACAAAGAGCACTGCAACGAATAAATCCAATTTGCTTATCTAGTCAAATATCAATGTAAAAACATTTATATAAATATATTTTGATATTAATGCGTGTCTTGTAAATTATTTCTTATAATCCCCATCCCTCCGCCAACAATATCGTCGTTTTGCTCGAACGAGCGCAATTTATTTTGCTTTCAGTCACGCGGCATCTCGAGAATGACGCCAGCTACGTTTTCCCGGCTCCTCATTAACGCAGGAAAAACAGCGTCTATAATAAGCCGGTCGAGGTTTTGTGAATGAACTCGTTTGGCGGCCTCTTCATCCGGTTCCCTTCGAGTTAGCATCGAAGTTGGACCACCGCTCGCCTCCGCCTCCGGTGAAGCATATTTTTACCCTCGGCCTGAAGTCGCCGCTGCGTCAATTTATAAATACCGTCGGATTTTCATCGGTGTCCCGCGCTATCGACTGCATGGCTGTGAGCGGGGATCGGGGGCGGGCTACGGCGAATGGCATCCGGTGGCCTCCGGCCATTTGCGTAATCGTTGGAAGTTGCGGTAGGGTCCAGGGTGCTTCCCCATTGACGTAGCTCAAGTGACGACAACGACAACGACAACGACGACGACGACAATGACAACGACGATGACGACGACGACGACGACGACGACGACGACGACGACAACGACAACGACAACGACGAGCACGACCACGACGAAGACGACGACAATGCTTCTACTACTGTTACCCGTGTATTAATAGTCCGGGGGTGTTAGCGTGGGCGAGCCACGGTGACGCGCCCGCGACGATTGAGAAGGGTGACGCTCGATCACGCCGATACGCGCGCGATTCTCGGTATTTTTTTTGAAACGCCCAGAAGTGGGAGCGCGAAGTGAGGGGCCTGAGGCGGTAGGAGGATGACGATGAGAGGAAGGGTGGGAGGGAGGGAGGGAGGGAGAGAACGGAGATGATTAAGAGCGAGGAGGGAACGCATGCGCGGGCCTACGGCAGGTGGACCGAGAGCGAGCGCGGAGGCGATAGTGCGCTTCGGCGAGTCGAGGATGTCGGTGGAGAAGCCGCTCGTAGACGTCCAGGACGCGAACGAGGCCGCGGCCAAGATACAGGCGGGCTTTCGGGGATATCGCGTACGCAAGCGGTTACAGGAGGAGCGCAGGGCCAAGGAGCAGCAACCCGAGGAGGCCAGGGACGGGACGACGCAGGAGCCGCAGCGACGCATGGTGCAACTACGAGATTTTACTTAGCTCGGGGCACGTGGGTGCGCGATTCGAGCGGACGAGGCTCGCCGATATCTCGAGGATCACGATTATCGTTGGAAGCGCTCGGATGGTCGGAGGTCGCGGCCGTGCGGATGTGCGTCGATGGTGGAGTAGAGCCTCGGCAATGCCACACCATACAACTAGGTTGGAGGTTGAGTCGAGGGGCTGGCTTACTTTGACTTAGCCCCGTTGTTCGCTGCCCTTCTACGTACATTTAATATTCCTCGATAACTCATTGCAAGGAGGAGAGGGTAGGGTAGGGGGGAGGAGGAGGGAGAGTGGGAGTGGGAGAATTAGGAGGAGGAGGAGGAGGAGGAGGAAGAGGAGTACGGGTTAGGAAGGGGGGGGGTAGGAGGAAGAGGGCAATCGAATACGACTGAGATCGCACTTCCAAACTGGCCTTTCCCTGCCCACCCCAGCCGCCGACGAATAATCTCCGACGCGCAAGTATTTCTTCGCTCACAAACAAAATGGTCATTGAAGGAGCCAATCTTAGAGCCATTGATACATCTCCGATAGCGGCAGGCTTTGATAAAACAACGCCTCGACAACATCGCGAGACACTAATCCATTTGGACATTGCAAAATACAAGGCTATTGAAAGATGACTCATTCGAGCAGAGCACCAACTGTCAGGCGGATTTTCTCAAACCAGGGCTTACTCCCCCGCTGTTAAAATTTGTTCGTTTATCGACAAGAAAACTATTTTCGTGCGTCGCGCTAGTGCCCATACCCCCGAAATACTTCCCCGCGTGGTCCCGCGGTGGCTTTCACAATGTAGCCCCGACGTTTATAAATCTTATTGACACGGATGAGCGGCTTTACGGAGCAGCCCCAACAGCTTTTATAAAAATAACGGCTGCCCGTAGGATAGAGAGGGGTAGGGATCGGAGAGGGGCGAATATGCGTGGGGGGAGGGTAGAGGTGGTAGCGAGGACGTCCGTCACGTCGGACCGTTGTCATTAATTATAGTGTTATCCAGGAGGTGCCGCGAAGCGCCCTCGAGGATGAGTCCGCGACGAAGATCCAGGCCAGTGTGCGGGGCTTCCTTGTACGTAAACGGCACGAAGCGGAGAGGGCCGCGGCGACCAGGATCCAAGCGGGTTTCCGCGGCTTTAGGACGAGGAAGATCCTTCAACAAAACGGCAAGTGATCCTCTGGGCATCTCGGACGCATTCGCCTCGGCATCTTCGACGACATTCCCCCTCGTGTCCCTCATCCTCCTTGTCAGCTCGGTGAAGAGTGGCTTCCGGATTTCAGGGGTGCGGTTAAGCGAAGGCAAAACGCGTTTTGCGGATGCAGAACGTCCACGAGACCCGCTCGTCCTTCATCGAAAGTAGCGAAAATGACGCGAGACGTTCATCCGGATTATCTCCTTAACTTTTTATACATTCAGTAAGCGCGCGCTAGAATTGCGTATGAAATGTTAAGTAAATAACTTAGTTATGCAATACATTTGACACTTATATCGTATACGTAGCTCGTTATATGTATATATTTTATAATACTTCGACGTGCGCATGAACACGCACTCAAGCACGCACGCACGCACGCACGCACGCACGCACGCACGCACGCACCCACATAAACGCGTGTAGATGAGCGAATTTATGTTATTAGCATTATGAAAGGAATATATAAATAAATTTTATCGATTGCCTTAGAAATTCTTCATTACCTACTCTTATACACGTTTTATTGCGTAACAAAAGATCTGCATTTTGCGTATCCCAGACGAATAATACTCAAAATTGAACAAATCTTGAGATAATATTACTGCTTTACAAAATATTTTGGATCGTAAAAATATTTATCTAAAACGCCAAATGTTGAAATCCGTTTTGAGTTCCTTGAGTTTTTCAATGCATCAGCATTAATAATGCACAATAAATAAATTATTATGAATGCTTGTTTGAAATAAAGGTTGAAATGAAATTCTGCTGTATAATAAAACTTTTCTTATAATTTTTTATAATAAGTCAGAAAGACAGCTCTGTTGTTATTGAAAAAGTGATTACGGACGTAACAACGTTTTCGTATTTAAAGAAATCCAATTAAGAGTACTTAAAACTGTAAGACGGGACATTAAAATTATAAATAAATAAATGCATAATGGTCAACAAGAATATTGTTAAAATATAAATGTAAAATTTATTACCATTACCGTATCATATGTCGAGTAAATGTATTTTTAAGATTGTACTTACAAGTGCTTATTTACTTTTACCGTATAACTCAATATATTTTCAAATTAATACAAACAAGACCATTTGCTCCATTAATTGATTAATAATTAATTAATTTACGGGAAAAAAATAGTTATTTCATTCAAATTGTTATTGTTACGTTCTAAGCGCATCCGTTCAACAAAGGTATTGCAAATATTCGAATATGGCAAGAAACAATTAAAAAATATTTCTTCGACATTAAATACTGCGTGATGTCTAATGGCCAGCAATTGACTTGTTTACGCACATATTCGTGTTGAGAATCATAAAGATTGATAAGTAAAGTGCAATAATTCGTTACTACTGCGTGGACTATCGATATAAGCATTCATATATAATAAACGTATAAATACGTGCGTAACACATACACACACACACACACACACATATATATATATATATATATATATAGGTGTGTGTGTGTGTGTGTGTGTGTGTAAGGACGCGCGCACACTCTACGTGTATGTATTGAAAAATTAAAAAAGAAAACGAGTTGTTTAGAGCAAAATTTTTTTATATAAATCATACTATTTTTATATGTAATTTTATATTATCAATTTGATACATCATAAGAACAACAAAAATCATTCAGTTATAGAAGCGAATAAAGTCATTGAAATGAAATAAGTCATAGTTTAAACCTATACGTTCATAATTATAGGTCTTGAAACATTTCCGAGCTCTCATAAATCATCTTTTAACTGCTGCAAAATAAGTTTGTTCTGCATCGAGTTAAACGAGCACTGTAATTGTGCAAGCGCATATTTTTACTTTCTGTTTGCAGAGCTCGACGACAGTTTTTATTTTTAAAATCTAACGATCGACTATAAATTTACTTCTTAGCAGGTGGATCGATTCATATTGTTTTCAGTTCTATCAGGCATGGATGGTAATATCATATTCTTTTTCTAAAAAAATATTTTTTAAATTTTACACAAGTGCCATTGAAGTTGAAAATGTTTTATGATTTTTGATGAATGTACGTTGGAATGTAACAAAGTAACAAAAATCGTTTAATTACATTAGCGACGAAGGGTTAAATTATTATGAGTCAAGAGGCAAATTTAAATTGATTAGTGAGAATTTGATTTGATAATTATAATATCGTAGCTAAATGTAAGAGCCTTAAAATTTGTAAACGAGACGCGCAGTCGTGTAATTTTCCTTGAGTTTTTTCTCCTCCCAATTTCTTAATAATATCACTATAACTTTTCTCTATCTGACTGTTGGGGAAATCAATGCATTTACTTGAAGTGATACGTTCGTTTGGATTTCCATCCATGAAATTTGTCCTCAAGATTTCAATCGCTAAGTATAGTCACAGCAACGACGAATTGAGATGAATTAAGAGATTTCCTCGATAAAAAATTCAATGAAACCTTCGTTAAGCAAATAGTTATTAAAAAAAAAAAAAAAAAAAAAAAAAAAAAAAAAATGGCGCCTAGATGTATCGAATCAGCGAACAGCTTTTAGAATTGGAAAGTTTTATAAAATTTGAATAATATTGAATTAGATCGAAATTTCCAGATGCGCTCCCAGACTCTAATCAAAATACTATTATAATGAAAATCTCAATGCGTATACATTGTGAACTGCATCGTATAACGTATCTAAAAACTATATGCGCAATATTTTTTTCATATTTAATCGATGACTTCTTCGAACTTTAGCGATGACGTACAAAGTTTTCCAAATTCTATTTTCCACATCATAATGGTTGGTGAATGGGGGGGGAGGGGGGAAGTGGGTTTACTATTGTCAGAATCATATTATCGATACTTCAATTGATCTAGATATTTTGTGGAATGTAACTTATAAGAATAAAAATTACAGAATAAATGTCTGAAATGAAATTAATTGGTACATGTAAAAATCAATTGTTAATTAAATGTAAAATTACATTAATTATAGAGAAATAAACTTTGTAAATGTCAACTAATGTTTGCTAGAAGATAATTTTTCATTTATTTTTTTTTTTGTTTTTTGTTTTTTTTTTTTGTTTTATTTTGCGTGTAAATAGCGTAGTTGAAGTAATGTTTATACACCACCTCGGATAGTCACTTTATAAGCGTTACCACCGCATAGTCCGAGTTTTTCTAAAAAAATTGTCCAAAACTCGGCACATACAGTACTTGACAATTACTTGTAAATAAAATATAATAAAGACAAAAACAAATTTGATTTTAATACTATTCATTATTTATTTGAAAGGTCAAAGCTTAAACAAAGAAGCGGTCGAATGAAGTAATTCATAAAATGTACAAATTCTTCGCTAGTAGCGCATAAGTTACATGAACAAGTGAGTACTTTTGCGCGAAAGCAGCGAAAAGAACTATTGCAATAGTCGGTATACGTTACAATGTGTGTGGCATTTGTGTTGCTTATGCCAGTAAAACTTAATTGACGGTTTACGCGGTATAGTATGCGAATAGGTGTTTTTTTCCCTTTATTCTTCATCCGTGATTAATTTGTTTATTGATTAAATGCACACTGGTTGACTAGTCAATTGATAAATACTGTCCTCGCGTATAATATCCCACTGGCCATATACAATACTGTTTCCTCCAAAATCAAATTGCGCCCTACAATACAGATAATGACACTTTTGCATTTCTACAATTTTCCGTTTCTTATTTTTTTCATTTTTTAATCATTTATTATTGTTATTATTTTTTTTTTTTATTTTTTTTGTTTTTGTTTTTGTTTTGTTCTATTTTTATTTAAGTTTGTTTTCCTATGCTGACATACACGTGTACGTATTAGACATTTAAAGTAAGAGTGCAGTGAAATTATTTTTCGATATTATACGTATATCGTTCGACAAGTAGCTACTACGCAAGGTAAATCGAATCGAGTGGGCTCGATTTCGTTATTATTTTATTTATTTTCATTTTGTTGTTGTTGTTGTTGTTGTTGTTCGTGGTGGTGGTGGTTGTGGTGTGTGTTTGTGTGTGTGTGCGCGCGCGCGTGTGTTTGTGTTTATTTTTTCGTTTGGTTTTCCTCACAGCCAGTAAAATGCGCCGTCGCCCCATCGCGGTTCTCAGCCTCGGAGGCACGCGTGCACACCCACGCACGCCCACGCATGCATCCACAACAACACACGATACCACGCGCAGAGAGAGAGAGAGAGGGAGAGAGAGAGAGAGAGAGAGAGAGACAGAGACAGACATACAGAGAGGAGAGAGTAGAGAGAGAGACAGAGAGACAGACATAAGCGCCGGCGTACACGTCAGCGCACGCGCGCGCGCAGAGGCGCAGGGTCGCGTGTAATGTCGGTGTGACTCGCCGGCGGCAGCGTCATTAAGCTCGGATCCCATCGCTTAGGCGGCCGTCGAGGCGGATCGCCGACCAATGGCTACACTTATCACAATAGTTTGAATAATAAAACGTTACCTAGTTGAGATCTCGATTGGAATGGAGCAATAAATAATCATAAACACGGTTGCGGGGGGAACTGAGTCGAGTTGGTCGAGATGGGGCGCGGAGAGGGAAGGTTGATCGTGAGCGGGCGAGGGATAGGGAGACGTCGATGGAGGGGGGGGGTGGTCACGGGTCGTCGACCTAGTCGAGCTTCCTCCTCATCGTCGATCATCTCTACTTGTCGAGCTGCAGACCCTGCATGTGCTCGGGGTGGCGCAGTTGCATCTGCTCGTAGATTGGACAGAAGCCCGAGAAGCACTCGAGGGTGTCTATGCTGCAGCCGGTGCACTTGTTGCACCGACAGTACATTCCCTCGCCGCAGGCGCCGTACTTGTTGCGCACACCGCCGCACATCTCACCAGGGCCCTGGAAGTCAAGTCGCTCTTCTGCATACATTGGCTTCACTGCGGGATATTATTGTAATTGACAAGCTTCTTCCGATGCGAGATGAGATTGTCGCATTTATCTAGCGAGTGCTTTGTTTGTTGACAGAGCTCTTTCAAACAATTTGCTCGGCTTGTTTACTTACTTTTGTTACGATGTCAACAAAATAAATTTATTAGGCTAGGCCGGGGAATTTGTTTAAATGATTTATCAATAAAGTTGATTCGTACTTAATGTACCCGAGATGATACTTTAAATACTATTCTCGAAGTGAAATTCATTAGCCGACGGACGTTTCGAGAGTTAAACAATTTTGTTAAGAGTGCAAATAAAAAGTCGAATTTTCCTATATAAATTTTAGAATATATTTTGTGTTTCGAAGTGATTTTGGGGATACGATGCACGTGGCTGAAGAGATAATAATAATTAGCCTTATCCGGTGTTTTTGTGTCGAATGTAAAGCGTTGCGAAATTCATAATCGAACGTTACGATTAGAATTTCTCTACCTTCGAGCAACAAACGATTACTTAATCAATGATAATTAAATTTCTAATAATAAATACTCGTGCGCTCGTATCGTCAATAAATTTTCGTGCATAATTGCCTATTCAACGATATGAATAAATTACACAAAATCCGTATAAGCAGCGAAGAAATAATATAAAATTAGATATTGTTAGAAATAATGTAAAATTAAAATTACTATTAAACGAGAGTAATTCGTTAGATTTTTAGAAAACGTCTTTGGTAATACGAAAAACACACGACAGCGTTGTAAGATCCATTGCTTTAACGTTTTTTTTTAATTTTTACCGATCATAATAAGATAAGGGATTTAAAATTTCAGAAAAATGGATCGTAGAATTTTATGAAAAAGTAAAAATGTATAATCGTCGCTCTTACTAATTTCTTTCGGGAGTTAAAAAAGCTTAAATTGTAAATTGGCATTACATCAAAAGTTTCGAGTTTCGCAAAATTGAAAATAAGATAGATAATGAAAATAATGAGATGCACACTTGTCAAACGGACTGTCTATTTCTTATTCTCAAAATATATTCTATTGCAGTAAAATTTTCAATGTTTTACTTAAATATTTTAGATTTTGCGTCAGAAATTTTTAGTCAATAGGGCATCAAGGATATTTAAAAGATATTAAATTGTAGCTTAACGGTTAAAGAACGACTTGCGAAATGATAATCACCCATAAAATTTGTTCCAATATACAGCTTGAAGATCTTGAAAAATGCGAATGGAAAAATATAGTTTTATAAGCATATACCGAATGTTAGCGCGAATAAAGTAGAAATAATTTGTTTTTGAAACTGTATCGCCTCGTTCGATAAGATTATACAAAATCGATTATTAATGAAAGCGAATAGCAACATACCAATGATATATTTTAGTGAAAATTGCTTGGCCAAAGTCGCTGCTATTACAATTTAAATAAATGCTGTACGTTTGTTAATTAATTCGATTTAATTAGTCTGCCGTTGAATTTGACGTGGATTTAAAATCCCAGCCCATTATAAAGCGTAGAGCAATGGTCGTTATGATCATTTCAAGCACTCTGCCTGTTTATTATTTTTTCTTTAAAATACAGATTGCGTTAAGGGTAGAAGGGGTATATTGAGGGAAGCCGTTGAGTATAGTAATTTTGACCTTAAAATGCACTTTGCGTGCGAAACGCAGCTGGAATTCGCTCGTGAAGCAATCGATATCCGGCGCGGGTTGGCTCGAGTCAGCTCCAGCTCATAATTGGCAAATTAGAGCGTGGACCATTGAGTAAGGACAAAGGGTCCTCGAGTCACTCATCGAATCGCGTGGGGTCCATTTCGGCAGAACTGCGATGAAGCGCGGCGGGACCGCTGGTGGTTGATGTGATGACGAACGAGGTGGTGAACGAGGTGGTGGAACGGATCGGTGAACAGGATGGTGTACCGGGTAACTGGCTGGTTCTCGGCCGTGCGTTTGGAGAATGATGATGAGAATGGAGTGGGAGGTGGAAGGGACATAGGAGGGAACGCTACTCACCTTTAGACATTCTTTGAGTCCGCACCAATTGGAGAATGCGAAGCCGTATTTGCACTTTTCGCACTCGTCCGCGCAGCCCTCGCACTCGGACCTCTGCTCGCCGCGCTCGATGATGGTCGGATGGCCGAGGAAAAGCGGCAGTATCCCGAGTAGCAGCAGCAACACCAGGGCGCAGTCAGTATGGCTGGCACGCATCTCGTCCCGCGGCGGATCTGCAAGAGGCCGTGCTAAGTCGCGGTGAGCCACGTGCCCGGGCATCGCGGCCCGGCTCCCCCTCCCCCTTCCTTTGCCTGGCTTACGCAACGCCCCCAGATAACGATGCACCGACCTATTCGGCTTATCGGCCGCGGACACCGCGAAAATAGCTACGAGGCCGGCGGTCGCCGGGCGGCGCACCCACACCCGCGTGCCTGCGAGCGTCGCCGCTCCGAAATAGATGCTGGCGCCGGGGGTTGAGCGCGCCGTCTCGGCCCCTTCCAGCGGCTCTCTAGTTCGGAAGGGCGTCAGGGGGGAGGAGGGGATCAAGGAAGAAAAACTAAGCACACATTAGGGCTAGGGGTGGGTCGGTGGGAGAAGGAGGAAGGGGAGAGAGAGAGAGAGAGAGAGAGAGAGAGAGAGAGAGAGAGAGAGAGAGAGGGAGGAAGGGAGGGGGATAGAGGTAGAGAAGAGGGAGGGCCGAGAACCGGCTTTACGACCAGGTTGACGAAACGCCAGAGGCTTTCTCTCACCCTCTCGTCGGACTTTAACGATTCGGTGCCGATCGCAACACCCGGGACTTACCATCGGACCGAGGCTCGGCGTGGCTCGGCGGGGCCTTCCGCATACCATATGTTACCAAACTCTGAACGCTGATTATCGATAGTCGATGAGCCACCGATATATCATTGATTTTTCATTCGCGTGGACAAATATTTTTATTAAAAATATCGTCATTATTCGATTCAATCGATCAGAAAATCAACGATAACATTATTACGAAAAATTTTAAATTTACAAAGTCTAATAATTCTTAAATTTTCTCACCCACATACCAGATCGGCTATTGTTATTAACTACCTCGTTTATTATTTATTATTTGGTTTAAATAATCAAATGGCTTTATAAATACATATATTTTTAAACGTCAAATCGCTTATAATGATATTTATTAGTTTTTTTTTTTTTTTTAAATTATGTTTTGTTTGTATTATGACTAGACAGGAGTCCTCAATAATGCATTGTGGAATGATCAACTAAATAATAGTTTATCGCGGATTGATATGATTCGAGCTAATTATTTTTGTCAATACCTAATCGCCGCTATAACGTAGCTACTATAAATATCGTTTATTCGAGATAAAGTTTGAAAATAAAAGTTAAAATAAATATCTAATTTCTAAAAATAGAAAGTGTAGCGCTATCGGTGTTTGCTATTACATTGCAATAATGAAATGATGAATTTTATCTTGAAATTAGGTTAATAGTCAACGCTTTTGTTCTCTCCCTTTTCCCCCACCTTTCCGCCACGCCCCCTCCAGCAAAGTCTCCTCTCTCGCTCTCTCTCTCTCGCTCATTCCCTTTTAATTTCATCAGTGTCATTGATATGTATGTTTTTTCGCATCAAATGAATTTAAAGCGAGATATTAGCGTTGCAACGACAGGCATCGAATGTAAAGTCGCGATTGGAAGTTTTATTACATATTTATCGTAAAGATTTCAAATGAAAAATTCGAGCTACTTTAGCTCATAGCCTGCTTATCGTGCGATAAATCGTGAAAGTTAAAGTTTATGATTTTCGAGGTACCGAGGGCAACAAGCAACAGTAGCTTCCAAACTGATCCTGAGCAACAATATTCAATACCCACGGAAGCGCGCAATTATAACGCATCGTTCGTTATTATTTCGACGTCCCAATAACATAGAAATCGGCTCGGAAGACAAACTGCAGCTCTGCGCACTCGTTTGCGCGCGCTATTGAAAAGTCGGATACGACGAATGACCGCCTCCCCCCTTCCCCAACAAACCCATGGCCATCATCCATCCCCCATCTCACGTCTCCGATACCATTTCAAGGCTTGGATACATCGGCTCCGTCGTTCGAGTCCCCGGCCGGGTATCTTTTAAAAAGTGTCGACGACCGTAAATTTGAGAGATCGCTCGTCCAATAAGGCTTTACCGCCTAAAGAACGAGGGAGCGTAAAAACAAGCTTGCGATAAAGGGGGCGCAAGGGGCGCAAAAGCCGCCAAGGCCGCAAAATATTTGGAGAAGGATCTATCGTACCTTACGGCTGTTGGCGGGTACTGCTTGTAGCGGAGGTTCGTCTCGACTTGTGAGGGTGTCGAGCGATGCCGGCTGGTTTTATAGGAGCTCCGGCGGTCCCGCAGGATCCGTTGCCATGCGATGTCGGCGTGCGTCCCGGACTCGCCTTCTCCCAGTCCCGTGCCCGCCCCATCCGGAAAGCGTTTCATCCTGTTAGTCAGCCTCCTCCTACTCCTCCTCTTCCTTGACGACTCACTTGACTGACATTTATTTAATATGTTAATCGTCCGCCTCGATTAATAATACGTAGCCCCGCATTAACGGCGGCTAGTAACGTAGTAATAACAGTCGCACCCCGCACGCCCACGCGCTTTCTTTCCGCTTCTCGGGGTTGGCCGAAGGCATACCTCGTTGCACTTTCAGCCTCTGTCATAATGACTTGTCGTTACCGCTAGCTTCTCGTTCGCTGCTGTTTTTCCTTTCTTAATCGCAACTTCTCGCCAACGAGCGTAAACAGCGGGGTGGGGGGGACTTTACTTTGTCGCAACCTCGGCGTTCGCGATTCTCGGGCGGCTCCGTCGCATGGCTGTGGATACGGATGACGTTGTTACGTACTGAGCTCGTACGGGACGCGAGGACGATCGGTTCCTTGGGTTGTTTACATTTCTATAGTGGTGCTACGAGTACTTATTAGCACACACGCATAATAAACAACGACGACGACGACTACTACTACTCCTCCTTCGTCTACCGCTCCTTCTTTTCATTTTAATGTAATTTATGAATATTACAGACACCATTTTCTCACGTATTCATATTGACAAAACTATTCCAATATTATTACGAATTTCGACAAAAAAGCTTCGAATAAACAATAACTTAATTTATTTAATAATAATAATAAGTGCTTGCTCAGTAGACTTATTAAACATTATTTTAATGAAATATTTGATTAAGCTTTGTTTTGTAATTTTTGTTGAAAAAAAACCTTCGACATTGTATCCGCTGATGACTGACAATTATTTACTTACTATAATTCTTTATGATAATATTTAAAAATTAAAGTTGAAAACATTTAGACGATAAATTTATTTTGGTTTACTGTCACCATTGATGCGATGAGTAATATGAATTTCGGATACTTAATATGCAAATTTTCTCGATACAAAAATAGATCATTGTTTTCCATTTTCTAAACTAAAAATATTTTGAATTTATATTAAATCATAATACTCCCAATTAGCGTTATTTATACAATAATATTTTATATTTTTATAATTATAATGCTACTTTGAAAAACGTGTTAAATTTATAAATACACTTTTAGTTCATTTTTTTTTAAATACTTTCGTGCTTTATATACTTACAAAGATTTTCTTTTGTCAAACGATCATTAATATTACTTAATATTATTTATCGATTTTTTTTAATTCCCAATTACATTACTTATTGGAAATATTTTGTCATTTCGATGTTTTTTGTAGTACTGTCTTTTAAAATAATTAAAATAATAAGTATTGCTATTTAATGTTCGATGAATTAAATATTTCAGGCAAAAATTTTTAATTTAGATAATGCATTCGATTCTTTTTGAACCACATACATAATTATCTGATTGGAGTTATAGTAATTCAGGAATATTTTTCTATCGTATTACTCTATTTATTAATATTTTGCCATTAATACTTATTTATACTCGAATATTTATAAATCTATTAAAAAAATTTATACGTAATTTAAATTATATTTCATTTTATTATTTCTAATTTCACTTATTCATTATTAAACAACAAAAATAAACAAAAAATTTAAAAAATAGTGACGTTGACAATGTTATTAATGATATAATATGATGTAAAATTTCGGATATAAAAAAATCATTTTCTTATTTACACAAAAGTATAATATTAGATGAAAAAAAGAAAAGTTTCTTTCGTTGCATTCAGAAAAAATATCAGTATATACGCCCTGTAAAATTAATACTTGTAATACTAATTTTGATATTATTTTATTACTATTAGAAAAAATTGAGATATATATTAACGCTACTTAGCATATATGTAGATTAAGTCTTTTTTAAATAAATAGTTAGAAATCGAAAATATGTACAAAAATGATATGACTAATGAAATAAAAATATTCATTCAATTATAAATTACTTTTTTCACTATTTATTTTGAGTTTATAAATAAATATTTACTAAGACATAAGTTATCTTTAATTTGTAAAGGACATTTAATTCTAGATATTAAAAAACTGAAACAAATTTATTTACTAATAAAAAAATTTAATTTTTCTCTTCAGCCATACATGAGAATTAACTTTAATTTAATATATTTCTATTTCCAACAATTATATAAAAATATATAGAATATAAAATAATATGGTTTAAATATATAATACACTTATTAAACTGAGTGTAATACTTCATAAAAATGTATATAATACTCCAATACTATTAATTTTATAGTCTAGTTTAATATTAATAAAAAGGTATATAATATTTAAAGTAATAATAATTTTAATTTATTATTTATTATATATTTTATATTGTTATATTCAACTAACTGTACATTTATTGAATTATACGTACGTTTAAAAATGTACTTAATCAAGCAATTTAATTTAATACAGAAAACATTATTTAAACACTAAAGTTAATAAAAATTTTAAAATGTTTGTTAATTATTCCATAAGCGAACTATTTCATGTAAAACATATTAATCAATATACAAAGTGTTTCAAATCTTAATCATTTTTTCTTTTGAATTATGTCAATATTAACTATAAACTTAATATTATATTATTAGTTTATTACTTAAACAATTGAAATAAGTATAATAAAATTATTGATAGATATATTTTTGAAGTTATAAATGAATTTCAGGAGCAGTGCCGATAATTTATGTTAATTTGTCATCTTCTAGAAGTATTAATTATTTATAACATTTGCTTATTAAAATTATGGCATTGTATAATTTTATTAGTATTTTACAATTTATTTAAATGAAGAAAAAATTATAATTTTAATACGTTATTCTTATGTTTAAAAATTAATAAAAGAACTTTGGATCATCTAAATCAAGATTAAATTAAATAAAAATTTATAAAAAAATTATTTGTAAAAATTGAGAACATTTTTTAAAGGAAAGCTTTTAAAGGAAATTGTTAAATTTTGACAAATATGTATTTAGTGAAGGGAAATAAGAAAATATAATAAATTAAAAGGAATAACTATGATAATATTACTTGTATATTAAAATTTTATAATAATATTCATTAGCATCTTTATAATACATTGTTGAAATTAAGTTATTTTAATTTACAGACTCATTAGATTAAATTGTTTTGTTTAATATTCATTCAAATAAATTCTTAATATGGATATATCTATGTGAATATTCAATGTTTCACTAACTACGCGAGCAATGTAAATCGATTAAATTATATATATGAAATAAATTTGAAATAAACATCTTTATATGCAATCGCATATTTTAATAGAGAAATAGCATTGCATTATATCATTGTCATTATGCAAGTTTATTACTTAATTATAAATAAATATAATCACTATTGAAATATTGAAAAAATATTGTACTACTAGTTAGCTAACAACTTTATTAAAAAATGAAATATTTTGAACTACTACAAAGATTTTCATCCTATTGTTAATACAAATCCTATTGTTCTTATCGAATTTATGATATAAAATTATTTTTATACCGAGATATACAATCACGAAGTACGTATTGTAATATATATTGTTTCATTTATTATATCTTGAATATTTTTATTTGAAAAATAAACTAGATATACATTTATGTATATAATTGATAAAAATAAATGACCATATATCAGGCAACTTTTACTTACAACTTGTTAATTATTGTAGATAAAATATGAAATAAAGATACACGAATTAAACCTTCACTTTTATTTATAAATAAATTTTTTATTTTAAATATTCGTTCAAAAATTTTACGAATATCATCCACTTAATTTAAATTCCCGATTAATTACTACAGTTAATAATTGTAATCAATCATCAAGTCGGATAATTAACTAAATGACGCCAGTTCTTAGTTTCATTCTCAATCAAATTTTCTAGTTACATCAACGTAATCACCTTGTGGTGCTTTATAGCCTTCTATTGGTAGTGTGTTTAATGGTCCTTTAGAAGAAAAGGGTAGTAACTCGTCATCGATCTAAAAAGAATAACTCAACTTTACAATTATTCCGTCTATTAAACTTTATACATACCTTTATCGCATCTAAATAAAGACTATATGATATTTCTTTCAGTTTATTGAGAGCTTTTAATTTAGCAGACATATACAAACGTATAAGTTTTGCATGCTCTCTATGTTGCGCAGATTTATATCTATTCCATTCTTTAAACATGAAAGCTCTTTTTTCTAATGTCTTAAATGATAAACGAAGCCCACATCTTCTTCTATAACTGCAATATTTTTTATGTTATAAACAGATATTCAATAATTTATATTTATTATAAAGAAAGCAAATATTTTACTGTGCTTCTTTCTCTAATTCTTTAGAAACTTCTATTTCATGAATAGGTTTTAACATCTCCGCATGTTTCTCTAATCGCCTTATAAATTTTTCTAATTTCCTTTTTTTACGTTCCTCTCGATGCTTAATAACTGCAGGGTCAATTTTTTTCTTCTTTTTCAAAGGTTCTGCACTATTAACGAGAATATGAAAATTATAAAATTATTATCTCAAAAATAATATTAACAAATTCATTTAGTTTATAGAATAAAATAGAATTTATTATATAACTGACCATAAAGTATTTGTCAGGTTTAAATATAAAGGAGCATCGACGGAGATACTTCGAAAAGGAGTAAAAATACTATTTATTGCCATCCTTAAACAAATTATGAAAATTATAAATATCCTTTATCATTCTACAGACAATAAATTAAGAAAAGAATTAATAGATGTATTTATATAGGATACCTTGAAAACATATTACATATTTGAATGTTAAACATATTAATTTCAATTATATTTTATTCCAAATAATTTTTCAATGTTCTTTCTTATATAAATAAGTTCTAATAACAGTAGTATGACTTTTTTTCTCCATAACATAACCTCAAAAATCTTTACCGACCGCATAACGCATATCTGTAATACATTACAGCATCTGGTTATTTGTTATCAGTGTGACGTCAATGTAGATTAATGTAGATAGCGCTTAAAGCTCTTGACTAAATCATCCAAATTTGAAAATACTAATTAATTGTCACATTTTTTTATTATCATCACATTATTCTGGGCATTATCGTCATCATTATTTTCTTTTTTTTTATTTTACATTAGAATATAAGATTCCACGATAATGCAATAAGAGAGTACGAGGAATAGGAGATGAGACCAATGATATCAACAAGTTTTTAACATAACATAATAATTAAGGGAATTTCGATAAAACAAAGGAGAAATTGTTCGTGACACGTACCGCCCGTTAATATAAAGCATTTTTTTATTTTTTTTTTTTTTTATTGCGCATCTATTTCTTTATCGTAAAGTCGTTAGTTGAAATGTCATCGCAAATGAAACTTTGTTGTCGATTTCACCTTACCGACGGTCAACACCTTCCAAACTTCGTCCATTATATTTTTATATTCTAATGAACTGTGCCTTGCATCATATCACGCAAATAAATAGAAATAGTGACAATATTGCAGACAATGAGAAATTTGATTATATTGCAATTATTATTTTGAATTGCTTAAAAGTTATTGAATTATCAACGATTTCACGCAATACATAATTATATTATCCTTGCTTGAATATAAGCCAAATTCAACTACAAATCATGTTTAAACGGAAACTTAAAGCACTGAATTTTTGTGATTGGGATAAAGTTGATGGAAATGGTAATAAATCTAAAATTTTATTACAACTTAATCTATATTGTTTATTCATGTAAGATAATTTTATTATTCATATTACAACATTTTAACCTAATAGATAAGCAACATATTAAAAAATTGGTTCTATGGTTGGAGAATCAAAAGATTCGCCAATACAAATTGGACGATCGAAAAGATTTAAACAATATTGCCTCTGCAGATTGGCAATTATATTTTGAAAAATATCTCAAAGATGTTGGTTGTCCAGAATTTGAAACACAATTATCTAAAATAGAATGGTTGATTGGTTTAGCAGTAAAATTAGAGTTTGAAGACAATCGTAAGTGTTTATAAATCACAAGAAATTAATAATAAATTAATTTAATCACATACCCTAAGAACATGATCGTATATATTAAATTCTAGATGAAAAGTATAAATCAGTTGAAAGTAGCAGAACAAAAGTAAAAAATATAATTGATTCCATTGTGTCAACCACAAATCCACTTGACAATCTAGACTGTTAGTATAATTTTAGCACTATTTATTTTATTTGTTGTTTTTAGATTTTCACTAGTTTTAACTATATAAATGTGATTTTACTTTTTATAGTTCAAAGTAATGATTTCAAGGATGGAATAAATACTTTAGCTAAATTGTTAAGTATACCACAACATCCAAATCACTTAATAACACTTGAAGCTTGTAGTCAATTTATCTGTAAAAGATTAAATCACGCAGCTGTACAGAATCCAAATTCTGTAATAGTTAAAGGAATACCTTATCCAATTATGGAGACCAGTGTTGGATTTAATATGGTTGATCCTGTATTAAATAATGCTGCAAAAATATTGAGTATATTGTACATTCAAGATTTAAGAGATCTCCAAACAAAAATAAACGAAGCAATTGTTAATGTTCAAAATATTACAGCAAATCCAAAAACTAATACAAAATTAGGTAAAGTTGGCATTGGAAAAAATTTAAATTACAAATAATTACTGTTAATATTTTTTCTAAATTATAATATTGTAGAAATCGTATTTATAATATATAATTATGTTCAATTAATTATTACGTATTTTATTATTTATTATAATAGTAATATTTAAAACGATCTAAAATAATTATTTGTAAAATATAATGAACAATATACAACGAAAATATTTAGATATTTTTCTTAAAAAGATCGTTTAAAAAATGTAACATAATATTGTCATAAAACTAAGAGCTGAATGCTTTACTTATAGAAATTAGATCGATGAATTAAGTTTTATGAAAAAGAACATTTTTAATATTTTTTTACATTAGTTATATAAATTAAATAATTTTATTACATCTTCGCTAGTAAATTCTTATGATATTACAATGTAATATATCGCACAAATCATGTCTTTCATAATTATATAACAATAAAACTTGCATTGAAATAGATACATCATAAGTATCATTTCTGTTAAAACATCGACATATTGTTGATATCATTCAATAGATATAAATGTGTAATCAATATTCTAATTTACAAAATATACCTAATAAAAACACAAAAACAAAGACTCAAAATGATTATATACCTTTATTTCTTGTACCATTTTATTTATAAAAAATATATAAAACAATTATAGATTTTATTAACATAGATTAAAAACAAGTTTTTATGTTTGTAATTTTATATTTTATAATTAAAATATAAAAAATTAAAGAAAATTAATATTTAATGAGTTAGTAAAAATTATATACATTTGTAAAGCATTCAAATATTTATATTAAGAACATTCGTATCCTTCCAGTTTTAAATATTTTTTTACAAAATTTATATATTTTTTATTTATGCTATATTATTAGATATTATAAAATTAAAAATTTAGATTTATCTATGTAAACATTTGGTATGTAAATACAACGTATACTATGGAAATTCTCTAAGTTATGAATAAAAGTTAAAAGTATTTTGTTAAGCTTTAATATTTTTGAATTATTAAAGTATTATTTTAGATTTATTGATTTTAATTTTACATGTTTTATAAAAAAATGATAATGAAAATTAATTTTAATAAAAAATTTTAAATAGAAAGGAATAATGGAAAATATTATTTTCAATAATTTTTAAATTTGAATTTATGATAATCTACAGTTTTCTCTAATGGTCCAAGGTACTGATTTCACTGATTGTTGCTGTTGATGTTTTTCGTCTTGAAGAGAAGCTTCCAATGCTCTAGCCAAAGCTTCGTCTTCGCTTATTGTACCCTGTAAAATCTTAAAAGAATTTGCACTATTTGTACTATTTTGCGTCGACTTATTCAATGAATTTAATCTTGAAAGCCTCAGTGACTCATCCTTTCCTATACACGAGTGGTCTGTTGGATGTCTATGCTTCAAACAATAGTTTTTATTACACTCCTTGCACTTTACTTGAACAATTTCTTTGATTTTACACCCTTTTGAAGAACATTTATTAGAAAAGATTTTTCTACGGTTTTTCCCAAAATCTGATCGACAATCATTGTCAATATGTAATCCAATTGCTAAGTCAGGAGGATCGCCGCGTTTCGATGGAACAGGTGCATTGCACAGCGGACAAACTGGTACTTGAACATTTTTTTTATAGGCGCTAGGACATGAATGGTCAGCATATGAAATATGATCCGTACAAAAAATTGCTGCACAAGCGTCACACTTAAAAGGTAAAAAATCTAAACGGTTACACGATTGCTCCGAACAATGTTCACCAAGATTTGGGAATTCCATTTCAATAGCACTGTATAAATTTAAATAAAATAATATTATTTTGAAATAATGTTAACAGATATTAAAAATTAGGGAAATAAAATACCTTCTTGGTTAATCTTACGAAGTTGATAACTATATTGTACTTTATGTTAAACCGAATATAACGATTTACTTATCACTTTGATATTGCAGGCGCATGCAAACGTATATACAATCAAAATGAAACATGAATGTACGCAATTTAAGTCAACGTCATGCTATGACAATCAAAATCATGATGTAGTTCCTATTTACATTTACTAATCACTAATGACCAATATCTCCAAGTTTGCAATCGTAGCGATAAAAAACAAAAGTATGGATGTCCATACATGTTCATAAAATACTAAAATACGATTTCAAGATAATTCAATAACCTGTCTTTTTTTATTAAAATCATAGAAACACGCGTAATTTCTAATTACTATAATAGGCTTAAAAATTTATCTCCTATTGTTCAACACTTATTTAATTTTACATATTATATCTGTTAACTAAATTATTCCTAATTTTACACAAGTCTGATTACATGCCACCGTTTTATATGATATTCTTACATAAATTAACATATTGTTAAATTGTAATTACTGTACAAATGCACAGCCATCATATTCTTTCGTTCTAGCATTGTGGTAAAATCGTAATCCAAAACGCGAGTCTGCGCAATAAAGCTTACAATGTCATATGGATTCAATTGAATATCTTCGTAGCCAATCTTTCTGTAAATTTTATTGTGCTTGATCGAGTTCCGTTACTAATGTTTTGCCATACCATCCTTGAGATAATTAAGGCAACGATAATGTAGAAATTAATAAGCATAGCCAGATGACTGATTAACTAAATTTTCATTTCTTTGAGTCCTCGAAGCTGCGAACGTTGAAAATGACCTGAGATTATCGAGTGTCGTAAATCCATATTATTATAAAAAATCTCATCATATCTCATCTATTTTTACTTAAATTTTATTTAAGTTTAAATATTCATATTTCGTTGCAATGGAAATTTTTTTCAATTTAAATTAAATATTAAAACTTATGTTTATTTTAAAAAATGTCCGCATATGTTATACCGATGGTAAAAATAAAAACATTAGTCTAAATATAAATTATTCACTAGAATTATTTATTGTTATAATGAACTAAACTTAATAACATTACAATGATTAAAAGTAATACACAATGAAATATATATATATATATATAATTACTGTATGACACATTTATATAAATACATTCGATGGTTAAGAATAATTAACAACCAAGATCGATATTAATTTAATTCACACAAATTATGTACAATCATAATTATCTTATTAAATTGACATACAAAAGTATAATGAAAATATATTATACTAACTTCCTATACAATTTTAAGGCCAATATTTTTAAAAGCTCGACTATCCACTTATATGTTGTGTATTTTCTATACTAAGTACAGGTGAATAATTTACAAGATCAGATTTTTCTTCAACAGAACTACTTTTCGAGTAGTTTGCTGTATCATCCAAGGAATTTTCAACATCCGACTTACTGCTAACAATATGTTTCTTTATATTCGATTCTTCGCTATCACTATTGTCTGAAGATTCAAGATCATCGGAATCAATATCATCATCTAAATCCAATATTGTTTTCCTTTTTTTCTTTAAATTTGATTTAGAATCTTCGTTCGTACTTCTTTTAATACCAGATGAAGACGATGCTGCAAAGCCCACCTCTACAGCATCTTCAACTCTTTCGGTCAAATCAGAGCGTTGCTGATAATAAGACTTATCTTTGAATTCGTGTTTGGGTTCAGCGCAAAGCTTTTCCAATTTTCTCTTTTTGCGTTCAGCAGCCTCCTCATTTCTTTTCGATTGTTTTTCTATCCATGCTTTCAACCTTTTTTCTTCGTTAATATCTCTTAATCTACGTCCACTTAAATCTCTACATGCTTCTCTATTAGTTGTTTTTTCTATTTGAGCACCAATAGCTCTTAACATTGAACCAAAGCCACCTTTACCTCCACACAACCTTGGTTGCAATAATATGTCTCCATTATAAATAATATCATCTAATTCGACTAATCGACCATTATTTTTTAAAAAATAATAATTACTTGCAATTCCCTATAAAATAAAAATTTTATATGTAAATCTTATTTATAAATAATTATATTTAACACGTAATGATTAGGAGAAAATTAGAAAATACTTAATATGCATTAAAAATATACTTACAAATGTCTCTATTAATTTTCTCATTATTTTATTACTATCAATGGGTGGATAAACTTCCATCATCTTAATATCTTTGTGATTTCCTGTTGCTAAGTAAATTGATAGCATTTTATTAATTGTAAATTTCAAACTTTATAAAAGTATATAATGAAAAAACAATATGAAGAAAATTTTTTTAATTTATAATAAAAAATTACAGAACCATAACATAATACAACTGAACCTAAAATTAGTTACAGAGTTTTGCTTATGGATGCACACACACGCAAGCACACATCCGCGCGCAAATATATATATATATATATATATATGCATATAGTACGTATTATCCAGTGACGTCATAAAGATGCGCATCGATATATCGCTTACTTCGCATCAGTTGCCTAAGTGTTCTGCTTCAAACTTCAAAGCTCTTCAAAAAAAATCTCGTAGTCTTTATATTTCGTGTGTAGTGTTTCTTTAAAAATAGTTTCATGTAGGATATAAACACGGAATTTTCCATTACGATCAAAAGTCGATATAGCCTAAAAAATTAAGGCTTCGACATCTCCAACACGGAAATAATTTTTTCCGTAGAAGATGGAGGTAAGTATTATCTGCAGCTTTTATTTTTCATTTTAGAAATAAAGAGTTGAAAATAAAGTAATCTAAATCATACATAACTACGAATTTCGTGGGTAAAAACATTACCAAACATTAAATTTTGTTTATTTTTAATCTTTAGAATGATTCACAAATCCCTCTTCCCTTGGAGCCAATAAGATCTAATAATATAGAAGATAGAAGATTGTGGGTGGGTAACTTAGATTTACGTGTTAATGAGTAAGTATTATTACACTGATTGTATTAAATATATAATTATACATTTTTTGTATATCAAACCTAATTAATTATTATGTTTTCCAACTGGTATCAATTCCTCAAACTCGTACAAAATCATGGAAATATTGAAAAGTTTGATCTTCTATTTCATCGATCCGGACCACAAGCTGGTTTACCAAGAGGCTATGCATTTGTTACATATAAATCATCGAGAGATGCAGAACGTGCTATAGAAGCATTACAAAATCTTAAAGTGGGATCTAAGACTATAGTAGTAAGATATGCTCACAGTATAAACGAGGTATGTAGATTAATAAAGTTGGATTATTGTATTATTTTTTGTAGAATTTAAATGTATTTTCTAAAATTTTTACTGTTCAAGAGCAAATAAATTATGTATACATGCAAAAAGTATAATATATTTAATATTAATATCTGTAATTTTTGAAAAATGAAAATGAAATATTTATATAAGCCTATATATTAATATATAAATACATTTATTAGTGAAACAAGAGTTTTGTAATTATAATTTTGTATTTAACATATTATGAACTTTTATTTTAAATATAATTTAGAATTTATAATACAATTGGCATTGCAAACAAAAGAATTAAATTTCATAGAAATTTTAAATGTATAACAAAGTATTCATTTAAAACAAATAAATGTTATTTATATTATGTTATATTATAAGGTAGAATGATATTTGAATTTAATATCATTCTTAGTTTTCATTAATTCGTTCGTTAAGAATTCAAATGCATTAAAATTATAGGCTGATTTAGATAAACCCAAACCAAAGATTGAGATACCTGCTTTAGCTGGTGCAAAAAAGGATGATAAAAAAATAAGGTATTGAAAATAATTTATTAAATTTAACTATTATTGATAGATATCTGTACATGTACATTAAGTATAATTAAGTTAGCGAAATAAATTAATATTATTTTAGTCGAGAAACAGCAATACAAGCTATTGAGGCTAAATTAAAATTGATGAAAGAGTCAAAAGAAGAATTTCAATTAAATAAGCCACTAGACGGAACACCTTTAATTTATCAGTATCAAAAATCAGAACACAGTAAGCCGTCCACTTCTGTACGACATTACAATCGAGGAAGCTATCACAATAGTAGAAAACCATACGGTCGTACAAGACCAAGAAGATAATTAGGTTCATAAATCATATAAATATTTTGTGTTTAAGTGAGAGAGTATAAGTTCCATGTGTATTTTTTTATTAATTTATTATTAAGACATTGCGAAACATTCTCACATAGATATAACGTCGTTCATTTAACATACAGCTAAATATAATTGTTATTCTTTATATAGGCATGAAATGCAAATCATTCATATTCAATAACAAATGCATTTTGACGATTCCATTTTATTAATTCCATCATTAAATATTGATTTTGATTATAAATTATTGCTTCTTAATTGGAAGTAACATGTAGTGCCATAGCATGCAAAACGTATTAAGAATATTTTAAATATTTCTTTACGAGTATTATTACTGATTAATTTAAAAGATAATGAAGATGAGAATGGACATATATAATCTAATTATACATATGTATATATATATTTATTCTTTTGTGATTATATTGTGTACAAACTATGGCTATTCTGTAATATTTTTGTAATACTAATATTTATAAGTTTAATAAAAACAAATTATATATCTTACACATTAAAATTTATTCATTAAAACATGTGACAAATTGATCTACGTATTAAAAAAATTTATTTACAAAAATATCTATAATGATATACATTTACTAATATAAATTATTTATTTTTAGACATTAAGTATTTTCCCCTTAAATGGTAAGGAAGTGGGATTGTACCTGGACAAGGTAATTGACCTGGAATTGTACATATACAACTTTTCTCGCAGCCAAATCCAAAATTTGCTGGGTTATCCTGTTTCATTTTTAATACGTCTTCTTCCATCAAAGTTTTTTTTGATTTTCCAATTACTTGTAGCAAATGATCCATAATTTCATCCTTGCTTTTCATATCAACATCAATTAGCATTTTCTTTCCATTTTCTATAAATCATAATAATAATAAATAAACATCATTTCATTTAATGAGCATTTATATTATATTGTAAAAAATATAAAATACCATAAAAACATGATATAAAAGGTGATGGGGTTTTATTTTTTATAGTTACAACTTGAACATCTGGATTTTTATATAATATCTGTGATAGATGCCAAAATACAAAGTTTCTGAAATAAAAAAATCATTAAAATATATGATACTTTTTTAATTTTAATTTAAACGCAGACAGTGTATTTAGTCGTTTGCTTATATCCTCTACAATTAAACTATATTTTTTTAATATAGATGAATTTTATATTAATATATTTTTAATTTTATAATATTCAGAAAAAATATTTTAGAGTATAACTTTAAATTCTATAAATATAAAGGGATTTATGACAACTCAAATCTTTTATCATGTAAGTTTAAAATAATATCAAAATTTATTTTGAACATAAATTAAAATTATTTTATAAAATTAGTGTCTTAAAATAAGTTCACGGATTACCCAATCTTTAAAAATATTTCATAAAAATATAAATAAAAGAAGCTTCTAACCTTATTCCATTGTGATGATCTCCATGTGAATTGTAGTTAATCAACATTATTTGAATAGATTTTTTCAAAACGAGTTTTCCAGCTTCTAAATATTTAACCGTACGCCTAATAGGCGCTGTTCCGATCATAAAAGGCATTTTTAATCTATTTCAATTCAAATAAAAGTGTAACAACGATACAATTTATAAACACATCATAACCATTAATATCAAGATAATTAGATAAACGAATGTATAAGCACGAGTAGCGATGGGCGGTGGATCCAAAAAATCGTGATTTAAAGTAAAACTGGAATAATACTAGTAAAGAATACTAAATTACCATTATTCCTAGTACATTTTACTTTAATAACTAATTAATATTTTTGATGATCGCCATTCGCCAACAAGGTCAACCACCCAGTTACACTCTATCCCTACAACTTTTGTTAAAAAAAAAGGAAGAAAATATATATTATACATTGTTAAGCTCACCCAGTTCCCCTAACAAATAATTAATTAATAAATCGCATTTTTCTTTTTTATTTTTTAATTTTATATAATATATATATATATATATAATCTTCTAAAATATTATTTATTATCAAATTTGAATCGTAAATAATTTCATTCGTTGATTCGAATTGTCGACGTAACAGAAAATGATTAAAAAAAATTTATTGTTTTGTAAAACTACAGATCTCTCTGGGAATCGACATATTTAGTAATAAAAAGCACATATAAAGTAATACCTAGGGTAAGACATAGTATCAATATGAATGTGTAAATAATAATAAAATAAAAATTACGCTTAAATTATAATTGGTTTTACATTTTCGATATTGTTTACTTTACATGCATATTTCAGCTTCGTATAATTTATAAATTTTAATTCAGAACCGCTTTTTAAATAAAAACACGCGCGCGCGCTCGCGTATTAAAATTTTCGGTTTCAAAATACAATTCAATGACACTTACATTTTAATGAAATTAAATGTTATATTTTGCACTTTTTAACTTATAATGAAAATAGGTATTGATCATTTTAAATTAATTGTAATATTTCTAAATAATCAACATTTTTATTTATTATATTAACATATTCAATTACATTCAACTTTTTCGACATATTTGTATTATTCGAGATTTGGATTATCATCAAATTGATCACAATCTCAACTGGAATTTCTATAATATAAACAATAATTAGAATTATCTTAACTTAAAATAGTATAATAATTGTCATTTATATATCAAAGCTACGTTTGTGTTTATATTTGATAAGGCTACAAACACAAAAATATAGCACTAGGATACAGTGGCCAATGCACGTGGATTTATAAGGCTCGAAAAAAAAAAAAAAAAAAAAAAGTTAACAGACGGGTAAGAGGTTATATTTTAATCCTGTTTAGTAAATAAATTAATGCATGTACTTATCCCGAAATTAAATAGTACTTGCTCATCGGAACTATTTAGTGCTCAGTTCATTGGTTATAATTTATTTACTCGATAATCTTAACTAGTACTTGATAAACTTCCGATGTTTAGATTTTTATTCTAATATTATTTGCCCGTTGTCAGCTGTTTTCCAATGCTTCACATGTAATAATTGTGACAAAGTTTTTACAAGTGTGATTGCAGTATTTTTCATACGTTTAACTGAATCGATTATATGATTGAAATTCCTCTTAATATTATTAGTAGACAAAAATTTATATTAAGTTATATTAATTTATTCTTTCAACTATATCTAATCTATTTGTACAATATATTATGTATTACTGTATTTTTTTTTTTTTTTTTTTTTTTTTTTTAGATAAAATTTATATTTTTTTTATAATTCTTATAATTTATATGGAATTAAAGTTTTTCTTTTCTTTAAATTCAATAGCAGCTGGTTGCAATAACTCTTTGTTATTGTAAAAAATTAATTATTGTGTTTACGCTACTTTTATAATTAATAATTAATAATTAAATATGCTTTTACTCAGTAAATTATATAATATTTTTATTTTAGAATCATCATTAAAAATGTCTATAAATCTGACTGCTAAGGAAATTCGTCAAGCCTATATTGATTTTTTTAAAAGCAAAAATCATGAATATGTTCACTCTAGTTCAACGATTCCTCATAACGATCCTACATTATTGTTTACCAATGCTGGTATGAACCAGGTAATTCGGTTTGTTACATGCTTTTAATTTTACATATATGTTAATTTACAAATGCAATATTTCAGTTCAAGCCAATTTTCTTGGGAACGTTTGATCCGAATAGTGATATGGCAAAATGGACAAGAATCGTTAATTCACAAAAATGTATCCGTGCAGGTGGAAAACACAATGATCTTGATGATGTAGGAAAGGATGTTTATCATCATACATTTTTTGAAATGATGGGGAACTGGTCTTTTGGAGATTATTTTAAGGTAAGAAATATTTGTATGCACAAAATGTATATGTAAATGATTTATAATAAGTTATTATTAACCAACAGATTATTATAGAAATATTCAATTGAGTACAATGAAATTTTACTTAAAAAATTTGATCTTATATATGTATTTATAAACAATTTTTATAAATAATTTTATAAAGCTAAATGTATAATGTTTATAGTTAAATTATGAGAAAAAATATTAATTCATAAAATTATTAAAACAAATAGATAGAATTATTTTCATTAAAAAACAACTATTATATTTATACTTATTAAATAAAATGTAACGTAAAAGTTTTTTTTATAATATTTAATCGAAAAATTTCTCAACAAAAATTGATGGTATAGATTTTTAAATCATTTTATAAAAATTTCAACAATTAATTTAAAATTAATATTTTAATTATTATTTTAAATTAATAATTGAACGTGGAATATTTCTTATTAAGTTGTATTTATATATATATATACACAATTTAAGAATAAATTCAATAGTAATTGATTTAATTTAGTATTAAGGAAGTTTTTTACTTAAAATTAATTACATTTGCATTAGAAAGAAATATGTTCATGGGCTTGGGAATTTCTTACTGTTGTACTGAAATTACCAGCTGATCAACTTTATGTGACATATTTTGGAGGAGATGAGAAAACACGATTAGAACCAGATTTAGAGTGTAAAAATTTCTGGTTATCTCTTGGGTAATATCGCACATTTTATATTTTACAATCTAATTTTTAATTTAAAAGTTTATAATAATATGTTAAACTCGTTAATTTTATTAGTGTTCCACAAACCCATGTATTACCTGGAAATATGAAAGATAATTTTTGGGAGATGGGTGAAACAGGTCCTTGTGGTCCATGCAGTGAATTACATTTTGACAGAATTGGTGGTAGAGATGCTTCCCATTTAGTAAATATGGATGATCCAGATGTTTTAGAAATTTGGAATTTAGTGTTTATACAATATAATCGGTTTGCCTATTATTATTATATACAAATATTACTAACAATTACAATTATTATATATATATATATATATGTATATATAAAGTAATAGTAAAATGTTATTGCTTTAATTATTAGAGAGAAAAATGGTAATCTCCATCTACTTCCTAAAAAACATATAGACTGTGGCTTAGGCTTGGAACGTCTTGTTTCTGTGATACAAAATAAACGCTCAAATTATGATACCGATTTGTTTCTACCACTTTTCAATGCAATTCAAAAAGGCACTGGTGCACCGCCTTATCGAGGTCGTGTTGGGAATGATGATACCGATGGTATTGACATGGCATACAGAGTTCTTGCCGATCATGCAAGAACTGTAACAATTGCTTTGGCTGATGGTGGAGTTCCTGATAATACTGGTAGAGGGTAAATAAATATTACTAAATATTTATAACATCAGCAGCTTATTAATAAATACCATTATTATTTAATTAATACAATAAAGTGAAGTCATTTTTATTATCTAAGCATTAAATATATTATGATAATTTTATTAACGAAATTACTAATTGTCTACTTGTGCTTTTTAATATTTTTAATATTAGATATGTAATAAGGAGAATTTTGAGACGCGCTGTGCGATATGCTACTGAAAAATTGAATGCGCAACCCGGATTTTTTGCCACTCTTGTGAACGACGTTGTAGAGCTTCTAGGTGAGCATTATTAACCTTTAAAAAAAAAATTTTTTACTTTGCAAGATATAAAATTTATGTTTATAATAAATTTTATTATAATAAGGATGAAAATAATGAAAGAGAAGCATTATAAGTATAATTAAAAACAAAATTACAGGAGATGTTTTCCCAGAAGTTAAAAGAGATCCTCAAAGTACAATAGATATAATAAACGAAGAGGAAACACAATTTTTAAAAACATTAACAAGAGGGCGTAATTTACTTAACAGGACAATAGCAAAATTGGAATCCACGCACATTGTACCAGGTGATGTTGCATGGCGTTTATACGATACGTATGGATTCCCTGTAGATCTAACTCAATTGATGGCTGAAGAAAAAGGGCTGACCATTGACGTAACTGGTTACGAAGAAGCCAAAAAGCTAGCAATAGTTAATTATTTTAATATTCCATCGCGTGATTGTCATACATTTCAATTTCATTTTATTATTGTTAATAATTTTGTAGATTGCATCACAAAATAAAGCTGGTAGCATAAGCGATCAGATTAATTTGGATGTACATGCTATAACAGAGTTGCAAAACAATGGGATAAAAGCCACTGACGATTCACCAAAATATAATTACGAAGTACAGTCATCTGAAAAATATGCCGAATATTCTTTTGCTCCTTGTACGGGTACTGTTGTTGCTCTACGTAAGAATAAAGATTTCGTCGATCAAGTTGTTTCCGGTGATGAAGTCGCGATAATATTAGATCAAACGAATTTTTATGCAGAACAAGGTGGACAGATATATGATGAAGGATTTTTAGTTAAAGTTGATGATGAAGTAAGAAATATAATAATTTAAGGAAAACTTTTAATATTATGAAAAATCATTACTCAATTACTCAATTTACTTTTAGAGTACTGAAATTCGTATAAAAAATGTACAAGTTAAAGGAGGATATGTCTTACACATTGGAACTGTTGGTGAAGGAACTCTGAAGAAAGGAGACAAGTTATACTTAAACATAGATTATTCAAGAAGAAGATTGATAATGAGCAATCATACCGCTACTCATGTTCTTAATAATGCTTTAAGAGAAGTTTTAGGAACAGATTCTGATCAAAAAGGATCGTTGGTTGCTCCAGATAGATTAAGATTCGATTTTAGTAATAAAGGTATTGTGTTTTATAAATAAATAAATATTTGTAAAAGAATATAGGGCGATTATTATATTTTTATATTTTCATTATTACTATTATAAAGCAATTGTATTAAAAATAAATTGCTTGATTACTTAAAATGTAAATATATATAATATTACATTTTTATTAAAAAATTCAAATTTCAATTTAAAAGTAAATTTTTAAAAGTAGTAAACTAAATTTAAATGAAGAATAAATATTACAAAACTATTATATATATAACATTGGAGAAGGAAAAACATTAAGGTTTTTAATAAGTGTTAATAATAATTTCAATGTTTCCATAAATCGAATTGTAATTATACATTTGCGATAGCATGTCGATCTTCCTTATTTATGGCATACTTAAATAATTTCGGATGAAATTGCGTAGGTGCGATGACTGCAGGACAAGTGAAGAAAGTCGAAGAACTTATGCAAGAAGTAATTACAGCCGATAAGCAAATCTATGCCAAGACCAGTCCTCTAGTGATCGCCAAGGGTATCCATGGACTTCGCGCAATGTTTGGCGAGACCTATCCCGACTTGGTTCGAGTGGTGAGTATAGGCATCCCCGTCGAGGACCTGGAGAGTAAGCCGCTCAGTGACGCCGGTATGAAGACGAGCGTCGAGTTCTGCGGAGGTACTCATTTGCATCGCACTAGCCACATCGGCGACTTCGTGATCGCGAGTGAGGAAGCCATCGCCAAGGGGATACGTCGCATCGTTGCGTTAACTGGCCCCGAAGCATCCAAGGCCCTCAAGAAGTCAGATTTGCTGCAAAATCATTTGAATTTGTTGGAAGATAGTGTGAAATCGGTCAAAGATAGTGCAGACTCGAAAAACGTCGTTAAACAAATCGTTGAGCACACCGACGACGTATCTCACGCTGTGATATCGTATTGGAAAAAAGTTAGTTCGATAAGTTTTATTACTTTCTAGTATTTCTATTTGATGGGAAATAATTAATAAAACGCCAATGGTTTAGAAAACCTTTAATCTCTCTAAAATCCTTCTATTTTCATTATTCATATTCATAGTCACTATGATGCGAGAATAACTTGAACAAAGAAATATATGTTATTTCTCCGCGATCCGTTAATTTTTTAATTTGAACGCAATATTGAAAATCAGCTAAATTTATTTAATGTTTTTTTTTTTTTTATAAAAACAAAAGAAAAAAAGAACTATTCTCAATGTACATTATAATTTTCACCCGAATTTCTCATTTATTTGTTTTATTATAAAATAATTAGGATAATAATGTAAAAGTAAAGTTTATGCGATTTTCAAATTGTTTGATCGATAGGTATAGCACATTCGAAATGATTTTAAAATCTAAAAAAATTAGAGAATGGTTTGGTTAATTTAAAACTTGAAAACAAAATTAATATTTGTATAATTGAAATGTAAAGGGATATTATTCTTAAATTTGTAATAGGAAAAGATGCGAGATCAATTGAAAGCTTTGAAAAAAACTTTGGATGATAAGGAGCGAGTTGCAAAAGCTGCCGTTGCTACTTCAGTCGTTGAAACTGTAAAAAATATCATCGAAGCCAATAAAGGAACACCAGTTTTAGTTGAAATCCTAAATGCATATAATAATACAAAAGCTCTAGATATGGCTTTAAAAAAGGTAAAGTCTATATCCCCAGAAACAAGTACTCTTTTTATAAGCGTTGATGAAGATGAAAAAAAAATATTTGCTCTCAGTGCTGTACCCGAAGTAAGTATTAGCCTTAAACCTAATTATAGCTGTAATTACAAGTTAAATGTTTAGAATTTTTAAGATTTATACTACATACACATACACACACGCACGCACACGAACACGCACACACTAACATACATATTTATTTGAATATTGATTATTAAAAATTTGTTTAGTCTGCTGTAAGCAAAGGCCTAAAAGCAAATGAATGGATACAAGCGATAGCTCCGTTAATGGAGGGAAAAGGAGGCGGTAAACCCGAATCAGCCCAAGCTTCAGGATCGAATATTTTATGTTTAAAAGAAGCTTTTGCTACTGCTAAAGCATACGCATATTCGGCATTAAAATTGGATGGTACATCGTAACGTCGAAAATATGTCAATAGTCTCAATTCATTTTCTTATATTTTATTTTGCATTTTATATTTTGTATACCGCATTCGCTTATGGGTGTTTACAACAAGTTCATGCATTGATTGTAACTTTAAAAGTAATCAAACAATTTTAATAAATGTGCGTGTGAACTTTGTTGAAGTTTTGTACTTTGTAATATATTAAAAATGCTCACTACGCATCATTGGGTCTTTTCAATTTTATTTATAAATAAAAGATTATTTTTATTGTATAAAGGCAAAATTTCACTAAAACTTTTTAGTTTTAGCAAAAATTTTTCAATAATATAATAGTAACGATATTCCCCGTATCTAAATCCAAGACTGAGCCAACAGTTTATTTAATTAATTGTAATAAAAAAAGGATACGTAGTTTAAATTGCATTACCATATGTTCGAAACGAAATTAATGTTCAGGATTATACAAAAACATCAGTTAGTATAAAGATTCAATTACTTACAACAATGAAAATGCTATTACTTTTTATTTATTAAATACCTAACCTAATGATAATAATAATAATATGTAGAGTAATAAAGGCACCAAGGCAAATTTAGTGGTGAATGATTTTTCGGTTAATAATATTTTGACATTTATTTTGAGGATTGGGTTCTTCCACTTACTGGAACTTCTTCAATACAAAATTCTAAAGATTCTATTAGATAAAATTATTTATTAAAAATAATGTAAAATTTAAATAAAATATTTTGTAATACAATTGTTTTAATATTTGCATTATATGCAATATTTTTACTTGCTTATGGACATATTTTAGTTGATTACATTAATTTTAGAATAGGAAAAAGTTATAGTGTTAATAGATGATTCGAAAACATTATATAGCAAATGCTAAAGCTGCCATTAATGATTTGTAATATTATCATGATAAATAACTAAGAATTCAATTAAATATTTAATTTTACAATTTTTAATAGTTCTTAATATACATTAAACTTAAATTAAGCTTACATTAAAACTTTTATTAAATATCTATATCTGTTTTAGTCTTCGTCTTCAAAGAGTTATCATACAATATCCTAATTTCTTTTAATAGAGTTGAAATATTAATTCCCATTTTTGCAGAAATTGGAATGATTTGAAAATCAGTATTTTTTTTTAATAATTCCAAATTGTCCTAAAAGAAAAATTTTTAAAGTTATTTTGTTTTTAAAATTATTATTAATTTACATTTAAACAAATTATTACAAAGGTAAATACCTTTGCTTCTGGTAAATCGATTTTATTTGCTATAATAATTTTTGGACGATTATTCAATTTATCATTAAATTGACTAATTTCAAATTCTAAAATGTCTAAATGCGTCCATGGATTTTCTTGTGTAACATCAATAATAAACAATAAAGCTGCACAACGTTCTGCGTGTTTTAAAAATGTTATGCCAAGGCCCTGATTTTTATGAGAGTTTGGTATTAATCCAGGTAAATCGGCCACTATAATTCCAAAACTTTTTATTTTTCATATCATAAATTTAACCATATTTATAATTAATTCAAAATTTGTACCTGCAATTTGTTCATAATCATCATAATGAATCATTCCAATGTGTGGTTTTAGAGTTGTAAAAGGATAATTTGCTACTTTTGGTCTAGCTCTTGAAATAGCTCTAAGTAACGTACTTTTTCCAGCATTAGGAAGCCCAATCTATAAAAATTTTCTGAATTTGTAGCATATACGTTTGATTTTTATAAAAATGTATTACATTTAAGATTTTACATACATGAAAACACATGATCATTTAAAGCGATTCAGCTGTATTATAAATACGCACAGATAAGTGAATATTTCATTTAACAAAACTAAAGGTATTTGTGTGCGTGTGTGCATGTGTGTATACATGCGTGCATATATAACATACATTGCAGGTAAACCTATATATATATACACCTATATATGAATACCTTTAGTTTTGTTAAACATCAACTGTACTCATTGCTAAATGTTATAAAAAATACAAAATATTTTATAATTTATAAAAATGAGTATTAGTACAAAAAATAATCGTTACATATTTTTAGTTATTCCTCTTATTTTTCTACCAGAACTTAAAAATCAAACATAAACTCATCAATTGTACAATTCAGTTCTATAAACAACTACATATGTGCATACATTTTTGTATAAAAAAATAAAATTATAAAATTATTTTTTAATAAAAGAAATACTATAATTTCTTTTCTAAAACAATTTAAGAAATAAAACTTTTTTTAAAATTATTATTATTCATAAAAATTATTTCAACGTACCAGTCCAACATGTGCCATACTTCTTATTTCAAGTACATATTGTCTAATTTCCCCTTGGCCACCATACTCAGCAATTTTTGGAGTTTGTTTTATATCTGATTTGAAAAATGTATTACCATGTCCTCCTGCACCTCCTCGAGCTGCTATATACATCATATCTATTTCATCTAAATCTGCAAGAATAGTTCCATTTACGTCTCTCACAATAGTGCCTACAGGCACTTCAATTATGTGATGATCAGCATTTTTTCCATAACAATTTTTGCTAGCTCCATTTTGACCATTAGAAGCTTCGGTGACACTTTTTACAGATGACAAATCCTTAACTCCAGCTGATACCTAAAATTAATAAACTTTTTGTAAATGCAAAGATATATCAAGAATTTTATAAATTATATAATAAATTATAGCAACTTTTAATATTACGTGACCACCATTTCCACCATCACCTCCATCCGGTCCTGCACGATCGTTCACCCACAATTGAAGCAGAGAAATAGCTCCATCACCTCCATTGCCTCCTTTAACTTTTATCTAATAATTTAAAACGATATGATACATAGAATTAAAAATTTATAAAGTTGATTGAAAAATACATTCTATTATTTACTTGCTTCATATCTACAAAATATTGCAGTGTCTCTCTTGCAGACCTTGGTTTTACATGTCTCAGAGGATTTGCAACAGATTTCTGTTTCATTTGATTCAAATTATGAAAAGACTTGCACATGAAACTGACTATAACATTTTTATTTTGATATACATTTGTCTTTCTCATTTGTACGCTAACACAATGTCTCAAACTACTATATAACACAGACAAAGATCTATATTTCATATTAGAATGCATCTGAAAATAAAAATAATTAAAATTTAATTAAGATTTATTCTATTTTACATTCTAACCTTTTAAATCTTTACAAAGAACGAATTAAATAAATTAATCGAACCCAAAGGAATTTCAGTATTTAAATTACCATTTTCTAATTAATTTTGTTTTTAAATTATATTTTAATAGAAATAAATATATTTAATAAACATTCTATATTTTTTTAAAATTTTATTACAGATTAGAGGTAATGTAAACTTCAATGCACTTTGAAACTATTTTCTTCTGCTCTCATTTTTTCAACTACTTTTGCTACGAAAAATATAACGAATTATTGGTTGCTCATTTGAGGAATTTACATTTTTCTTTTATACGTTGCTCAATTCTATATGCAATTTTCGCTTCGTAAATTTATTATTTATTACTGTACTTTATATACAGAAATATAAATCAAAAGTTATAGAAATATTGTACTTGTGTAATATCTTGATAATCAAGAAAAAAAAAGTTACAAATTAAATATGTTTAGATCTATAATTATTATTTAATTAAATCTACTATTCATCTTATAATTTTTTAAATCTTTTAAATCTTAATATAATTTTATTATCAAAGCTCATATTTTATAATAATGCCAATGCGAAAAATTCATAATAATACTAAAACTCAAATTTTTTATTATTTTATATTACATATATTGCCCACGAATCTTTTCTATTTTCAACACATTTTTTTTACAAATTGATAAATGTATAGGTACAAATTTATTAATGTTGATATCAAAATTGTTCACTACCAATCATTGTATTTTAGATTTTTTTCTTATCAATTCGGCAATATATTTCCTACTATGAAAAATTAAATAATTGTTTATACTATATTATCCAAAATACCTGCTATACAAGAAATATTTACAGTTCAGGTAAAAGTGGAACTATCTTACTTTATAAACTTGAACGAATTTTGATTTACAAGTGTATACATAATACGCGATACAGTCAAAGTTAAAAAATATTTCTTTTTCATAAAGTTAGAAATTTGATAATAAAAGTAACTAGTTAGTGTTTGTTGTATAAATATTATATTTTTGTAATACAAGATTAATTAATTTTAATATTGTGAGTGAGGGTGAAGGTTGCATTTTGATATTTTAACATTTCATTTAACAATGTAAATATTTAAAACTTACAAAATAAATATTATAAATTATGGATTTACGAATACCGTAAATAAATAATTAAAATATTAAAATTAAAAAATATACTTGAAATAATAACGTTAAAATATTTTGTACCAATATATAGCAATAAAAAAAAATGAAAATAAAAAATGAATTCACAAAATAAATTTTAATACAATGTTGAATAAATACACGAATATTTTATTTAAAACGGTAATAATTTTATAATAATTACTTTAAATATTTTGTAGAATTTATAATTTACAAATATATTTACATGATTTCCATAAATTACGATATCAACTTGGTACAAATATATTTAAATATTTATTAATAATTTTTGGTATCACATTTTCATGCAAATCTATTGTTAATTTTCTATATAATGGAAATTTTTTAGATTCGTATGTTATTCTGAATGTTATAGTTTCTTTCAATTTATAAAATTTATAGTACCTAAGTAATTCTACATTGCTTATTACAAGACCTGCAAAATTGTATAAAGTTTCATAAAATTTTATAATATTAAATCCTGAAGTAATGGGTAATGTTATATCAAATGTATAACTTTTAGGATATAAAGACAAATTATAATCATTACTAATATTACTAATGTTACTAATATCAGAAATTATATTTTGCCAATTCACAACGTTATCATACATTTTTAAATCAATTTTTTCCTTAGGTGCAATATTGTCAATAGTAGGTTTTTCAGATAATTTGAAAATGTGAGTAAGAGATCCTTGCGTATTAAACCGTTTTTCTAAACTTCTATATCCAGTGACAGTATATGATTCAAATAACGAAGAATCAAACGGTTCCACGGCAACCAGGATGAAACGACCATGAGCTGCCATTTCTGTTACCTGCCAAGAATCATGCCAATATCTGATGTCCTTATCTGCCGGTGTACCACCTTGGCCATCGCATAAAGTTAAAAAAATTTCTCCATCGCTTTTTAAAACAGCTCTAATCGACATAAAAAATTTTCTTAACAATTCTCTATTTTTTTCTATTCTCATTTTACCTCCAACATGAGGAAAATTGAAAATAACTATATCAAAATTTTCTTTACTTAAAATTTTATGTTCTTCTAATTTTGTTGCATCCACTCCTAGAAAAACTTGAACTCCTAAAAAGGAAATCATTCACTTATTTTTTTGTTTACTTTAAAATATTTTATAATAATTATTATATTATAATATAATTATATCTTACTAACCACATCTTTTTAAAATATCTGTATTTTTTTTACTTATTTCATTTATGTTGTTTTCAAAACATGAAGCAGTCAAATCAATATTTAAATTATACTTCAGTAACGTTACAGCAAATGAAAAATTACCTTCACCCACTAACAATATTTTTTTATTTTTGCCGAGCAGTGAAAGTCTCATTTTATCTAAAATTTAGAAATTGAACAATATGAATATGTATTATTTCGTAATTTTCAAATACATATGTTTCAATGTTAAAATGCTTAATCGAAAGTAATTACCCAATCGAAAATATCATTATTGATATATTTATTAAGATGTAATATGGAAATACATATTTCAAAATATAAAACAAATAAGAATATTTTTAACAAAATATTTAAACATTATTTATAAAATACTATCTCTTATTAATAATTAGTTGTTATAAAGCATGGTTTAAAAGAAACTGCAGTTTCACTAAAAAATATTAAAAATTTTCTTAGTTACATTAATATAACTTAACCTTAAATGCAAATGAAAAAATTTCGTCATAAAATCTACTATTGGTGACGATTAGTTTAAAATTTAAAATATAATTCCAGCTCAACACTGATGATAGCTCATCAAGTAATAATGTTAGATCATGTCATTTATCTTATAGATCAATTTCTCATCCTTTATAATGATTCTCATGAGAATATTTTAAGATGAGGTAAACATCGAATTATATAATACAGTAAATTTGAAATGCAGTAATATTTAAATCTTATGAATCAGTTTTCTTTTCAATTTAAGGATAAATTTTAAATTTAGAAGAATGAAATTCATAAGTAGGCAGTAGAAAAATATTTTTAAAATATTGAGAGCTTTAAAATTTTGAAAAATGTATAATTATCAACAATATAAAAATCTTACGAAATTTCTAAAAAAAAATTTTGTAAAATTTATTCAACGACATTTTTTTATTTTTTATTTACATTTTTTTAACATAATTTGTTTAAGCATACTTATAATAAATTATAAATTTTATAAATTAATTTAGAAAGTTAAAGCATAAGAAACTCACTAATAAATGAATAAGCCGGTAAAATAATTATTATTTTATGTAAAATAAGAAAGTCTAAGAGAAATTAGATGTTTGCTAAATATTAGAGAAGTAAAAGTAATTGAGAAAAAGTAACTTTTTTGGTTGATTGAAAGTTACTTGAAACAGTCTATTGATACAAATAGTTTCTTAATCAATAAAAATCTATAATATTTAAAATATTATATTATTGAATATAAAATTATATGCAATTTATATAACTTTTTATGGCTCGATTAATTAAAAATAACAAATAAATTAGAGTATGCGAAACAATAATTTCAATTATAATATTAGAAATGTATAAAGAAATAAATAAATACAATTAATAATGTTCAAGTATCATATTAAGAAATATAGAAGCTCCTTCAAAAATGATAGGATTTGTTGGCAATTACTAATAGGCAGATACAACTTTTAAATATGTAACCGCCATTTTGAGAATTACAATATTTTTTGTCTAAAATAAAATAGTAGAAAATAATATTATTTAAATGTTTTCCTCGGTAAGAAAAAATTATTGTTTAACTATCAAACTTTTAATATAATATTAGCCAATATATTAAATATTATTTTATGAATTAAATTAATTTTTAAAAAATCTTACATAATACAATTTATATTTGTTTTTATATAATCAAACAAATGTGTTAAAAAAAAAAAATATTTGAAAAATACATTTTATAACTATGATTATATTAAAGTTAGCGAACGTTGCAGACGTAAGGTGAATAAAAATATTGTAAATATTTTGTAAAACTTAATTTAATACAGAAGAATTTTTGTTAATAAACATCTAGAAATAAATAATGCATTTATAAAATCAATATTAATTGTTAAACTTTTATTTTTTTTAATTCCTCTAAAAAATATTATATCTTTTCAAAGTTTTATAAAAGTAAGATTCTGTTAATTAATTTATACAAATAATGAATATTTATAGTTTCTGATATTTCTTATCATACTGATTTTTATTATATACTATAAATTTTTTTATAAAGTAACTTTTTATTATTCAAACGATTAGATTTTATTACGTTATCGTTCATTACAATTCACGATTGATAAGGAATGATTTAACATTATCGTGGTAAATATCGTGATAATAGTTATATCAATGGTAGTTGAATAAAGTAATTTAATCCAAGTTTTGCAAAATACTAATTACACGTTAATACGAACTTTGAAAAACTTTTTAATTGTGTAATAACAAATTCTTATGTAACTTTTTCGAATATAAGATTATACGACGTAACATTATCATATTAGTAAATTCATGCTCAATAAATATTTTAAATTGTTTAAAGTTTTCAAAAAAAAGTTAAAATCTTATTACTTGTGATTATATGACTAACAGAGTTTTGCAAGACACTCCTTGATAAAGTGAAAGTACCGATACATAGAAGTATAGGATTAGCCTGACATCTTTGTTATACAAATCAAACATATTTTCCTTCTTTTAATTCCACATACTTATAAGTTAGTCTTCTAAGGCTAATATTATTTCATAAATAGCATTAATTACTCATTATTTGGAACTTTCGACACGTTTTCAAATAGTTAAATAAATATTAAATGATAAGTTGCTTATGCACGTTTGTTAAATAGTAAATATTTTAGAAACCTACTATATAGTATAATGCTAAATTTAATTTTCCTTTGCATCATCATATCAAAAATAATAATTCTACAGAACTCTCCCTGTACTAATAAAAATTATCGCTGATGTAATCCCATGCAAAATGCTTGATTTATAAGAGATTTGATATTAAAAAAAAAAAAAAAAAAAAAAAAAAAAATTTTTTTTATACTTAATTATTTATAAACAATATATATGTAAATCATATACATTATATTTCGATCAATGTTACAACTCAATTATGAAACTTAATTATTTATAAACAATATATATGTAAATCATATACATTATATTTCGATCAATGTTACAACTCAATTATGAAAATTTGCTGTAAGGAATGCCAACTGACGTATCGATCTCATGATGTTTTCCCTTACTACTCTGGTTGTACTTTTGTAAATAAATTACTTTCCATATAAAACAATAAAAGTACGCGGAAGATATTTTTTTATTTTGAAATTAATCATTTGTGAACAATTAATCTATTAAACAATGCTGTAGGTTGTGTAATACATATATCGTAAATGGGATTATTATATTTAATAATAATAAAATTTTAGATTTTTTTTAGATATCTAAATGATTTATTATGTTAAAAATATTAAGGAAATTTATTTAAAAAATTGTTTATTTTTTTAATAACTACATTGTTTTCTCTCTAAAAAAAAAACGAAATATGATTATCCGACTACAATAACAAATTACTACGCTTCAATTTTCTTACAAGACACATATATCAACTTAAACATTGATTGTCGTAAACAAAGTATAATTTTTATTATTTAATTTCCACTTAAAAAATTTAATGGCCATAGTTCTATATTAGTAGTTATTTAATGTAAATTTACTAAAATGTTGTAACTATATAATAATTAGTTTTTAAAATTAGAATAATTGCATTAGTTCAACCTTCGTATTCAAAGAAATTATAACATTTATAAATAGCTTTAATGAATGAAATTTTCGTATATTCTTTTCTGCCGTCAAATTTCTAAATTACTTGCCGTGATCAATAAGCAAATACTTATTTATTTCTATATTTAGACTCATCATTGTGATATACCAGTAGATTAAATACTATTTTATTAAATATTGTTTCTAAAGCACCATAAATATTGAAAAATCTATGAAATATTGAATCGTTCAAAATTAAAAATCTTCAAAATTATTGATGTTATTGATTATTATTTGCTATTCAAATTTACTCCACAAATAAAATATTCGAAATATGACATCTATTCTGTTTGGTTAATTATTATGAAATAATTATATAACTGTACAATAAATAAGTAAACATATGTATATTATAGATTAGCATAATCAATATTTATTTTAAGAAGTAACAATTAAATAAATACGTATTTTAATATAAAAATATTACATAAATAATTCATTATTTAGCCTTTAGAAATGTGAATGTATTGCTCTTTAAACAGGTACGAATTATTCGTGTGTGTGTGTGTTTTTTTTAAGTTATGAAGTGTTTACGAAGCTATGAAAATAAGTGGATCCGTGCATACACGCGCGCTCGCGCCGTCACACATACGTACAACAGACTACATATTAAGATATGTCAAAGAGAATTGAAAAAGATACCACAGCGTTATCCGTTTCGTATATTCGCTATGAAACAGGATGCGGCGCACCTTTAAAGTCATATTGGTTATAATGAGATATTGTAATATTTCGAATCATTTTATCGATCTAATAGAACTGGACGTGCAATTAAAACGAATTACATCCAATCCGGAGTACAAATCTGTTCTTTATTGGTTGACTTAGGGAAGCAGCTGGACACAGCAAGATTTATTGTAATCCAGCGCCTTCCTAGTATGGGATTTTTATTCGGAAATTAAATTACTTTATTACACTATATTCTTTGTTACGATAGACATTAGGCGGTGGACATTATCTTGGCGTTGCTTCATTCTGTGAGTAGGAACGTTCTGTTTGAATTATTCTCTTGAAATTATTCTTTCAGAGTCACCCAATTCTTCATAATTGAGCGAGTTCGTTCGTTGCCCGATGGACTTTGTCCGACATTGCGTTCACGCATTACTTTTGTCCCGCAAGCTCACTTGGAAAGGAGATCTACAAGTATGGTGACATCCTCCCTTACTCTCTAATGAGTTTGGCCTCTGAAATTGAAAAGTATCTGTTGTAGTTTAGCTAGATCGGTATACTAAAATTCAAATATTCAAATTTCGCTGTCATGAGATACTAGAGTACAAGAGACTATGAAATGGACAGTTTATATGAAGTTTTGAGTTTTTTGGAATAGTGACTTGCTAACACTCGCTAATAATGAAATCAGCAAGCACATGAATAAATAGTAATGTGGTAAATTGCTCCGAGCATAGGAAGATCGATATTATGCACAAATGCATGTACAAAAGTCACGCACTTACGAATAATCAAAGGTACTCTGCGAATATTAAGAGTCGAGCAGTGTTTCGTGTTCTCCGCATTTACACA